AATCCATGAATCTGACGAGTCACCTTTATCCTTAAAGGTACAACAGCGTTATGTTTTGCTTAGATCTGAGTGAGTTGGAGAGCTAGTGCCTTATCCAGACTTCGTCAGACTACGTTTTCTCATTAACTATATATGCCCAGGAAAGATTCTTTAGTTTGAATTTATAGAACTTACATACAGATCACCTCGGCATTACTTCTCAATTTGCTTGATGCATGTCATTTTCATTAATTTTGGAATTCTTTATTCAAAGTCCTGTGACTACCAATATTTTCATTTTATGTGATCTCAGGCCGCTTCCCAGCCACTGTGGAAAATGTTTCAGCAAACGCTGTAGCAAACTATACTAGTCCTGATGCATGTTCTTCAAGGGAGTTGTTTTCACCCATTGTCCTTAAATATCCACCCCATTACAGACGACTCAGGATGTACAATCTTTTGGCACAGTATTATTAAGGAGTTTTAGCTACAGTGAAATTGATTTGTGGTCTACTTTGTCATAGTATCTTTTTTTCCCCCTAAATTGTTATTGCGGTGATATCTTAATGTTTTTAATTGACTTTCGGTATCTGACATGGGGATTTCAGCTCCTGGTTAGTCTGTCTTGCGGCTAAAACGTGTGATGAAGTGATGTCGTTCATTCATGGTGTTTAAGGAGCATTTTAACTTTGACACTGGAAACTTCCCAGCACCGGGTTCTTGGGGGTTTATGGAGATCACCAACCCACTGCATTACTTCTGAAACTTCATGGAAATATAACTAAACAGCAGCAAGTTGTGTATGTAGCTTTACGTGACTTGGTGCTGCAGAGGCTCGGCCGTCTACCATTCTGGTGCCGTGACAGTTTTTCTCAGAAATAATGGGGAAGTGGCGGAGCACTGGAATGGCCTCTCCGCTTTTCCTGGCAACTGGTGACATCTTTCAAAATCAACATGTAGGTTGTTTGGGCCACAGGAGTAGATTCGTGATTCACATCTTAACTGTATGCATTAGTGTATTGATTTAATATTTCTGTAATATTCACAGCCCTTTTATTCCTACGCACCTTAATGCTTCCTTCCTGTGTCAAGCCTTATAAGTCAAGTAACTTGGGGCCATGCAAGTAAGTCGGTACAATTACAAAGGTCTATTTAATGAAAATGGTTATCATTGTTGTATACTGAATTAGAAAAACAGGAAAGCCCTGTCATTTTTTTCAGATCTCTTGGTTTCTTGAGTTAAAAATTTCAAAAGTCTAAGCACAAAATGAGCTGGAAAACTACTGTTGGTTTTTTTTTTAAGTTTAGATTTCTCTGAGTATCTCTGGTATCTTAAATATTCTCCACCATGAGCCATAAAATGTGTCTTCTAAAAAAAAAAAAATGTGTCTTCTGTATCTTAACCTTCTTACTCTCAATCACTATTGCAACATGGGTCAGCATTTTGAATTACTTTGCAGGAAGGGACCAATTCAAATACTCCTGTAATAAAGTAGGGGATAAAAATATCATAGCAAAGTAAAATAAAAATACTTTATTCCTCTGAGAAATTTGATAATGTGATATTTGTATCCTGTTTATATCTATCTATGCTAATTTCATACTCAATGAAGAATAGAGCTCAAATTGAGTATTCATTGAAGAGAAGTATTAACAACCATGAAAAAAATGTTGATTTTGTCTAAAATGACATATTTTTAGTAAAATAAAATTTTCTTCCTTAAGAACCATTTTGCTCAGTTTTCTATATGCGTGTGATTTAGAAAATATTCTAAAGCATAACTTCTTTTAGCCTGAGTATATTACCTCTGAAGTTTTATTTCTTTAAAAAATTCCTTGACTGGCAATCGAAATAGTATCTATTTTACAAAATTGAGGAAATGCAGTTTAAAGAAATTAGAGGTTCCACAGGAAGGAAGTCACAGATAAGAATCAAGACTTGGATCTTGAGGTTTCAAAAGCTTCACCTCCATTTCCCTTGGATGTATTTGGATATTTGCTTTTCATCTTCAGCTTCTCCTAAGTTTCAGGCTAAAGCCATCGTATTTGGGGGAAATCTGGACAAAATGTTTTTAAATCCTCAATACTTAGAACCTACTATTATACAAACAACTAAATTACTCAATGGGAGTAGTAACTCATTGTCATGTTTGTATTTAAATCTGACTACACAGTCTAAAGCAGACTGTTATTTCCCCATTGCTGTTTGCAAAATCAGTTAATCTTAGAAAACTTTTTTTTTCTTTTTGTTAAAGATTTTATTTATTTATTTGACAGAGAGAGAGAGAGCAAGTGCACAAGTAGGCAGAGCGTCAGGCAGAGGGACAAGCAGACTCCCTGCTGAGCAGGGAGCCCCATGTGGGACTTGATTCCAGGATGCTGGGATCATGTCCTGAACCAAAGGCAGATGCTTCACTGACTGAGCCACCCAGGCTTCCTGATCTTAGAAAACTTTTAATAAAAGTATGTTACTTTAGTGTTGTTTCCCTGTTCTTCTCTGACTCATATGCAGAATCAACTATAATTGAATAAAAGTGAGGAGTGACCCTATAAGAGTAGGATGGTATCTCCCCAGTAGTTTATTGGACACTTACTGCATATATGGCATTGTTCTGGACATTAGAAATACATGGGAGTAAAACAGAAAATGCCCTTTGTCCTCAATGGACTAACAATCTATTTGAGATGACAAAGCATTTTACACATAGAAATGTTCTTGTTGGATGTGCTAAAACACTGTGGGAGGTCAAGGTAGAGTGATATTCCTGATAGATGTAGATTAATTGGCATCTTGTAGTCACACAAGGACAAGTCCTGGGTAGCATGTAGTAGTAGAAAGACTGAAGAATGTTGGAAGGATAATTCACAGCAGTTATCTAATGTGTCAGAGCTTATTCTCAGGCTCTTTTACCTGAAACATGGAGCTGTCCCAGAAATAGGAAGTAAAGAGAAATGGAGGCAACTCTTCTGTCAATTAGGCTTTCAATTTATTGCATGTTTATTGAAAGGATATTATATTCATGAAACTAGCTCACAGCCTAGGGCCAAAACTGTGTGTAAGCCAACCATTTGCAAGTCACCATAGATGACAAAATTGAGATACAAAAATTAGGTTTTTGCCATCTAGAAGTTTATGGATAAGGGAGCTTAGACAGGTATAAAAATGACTAATACAAAGTAGAGTGAGGTGAGAATGAAGTCATAGGATGGGAGGTTATTAACTTGGCAAATTGTGTTTTCCCAAAAAGCAGTATTTTGCTCCAGAACCTTGCCACAACTTCACCTAGAGGTAGAGTCTGTTTTCCTTCTCTCTTGAGATTGAGCAGGATTTTGTGGCTGCCTCTATCAATACAATGCACTAAAAGTGGTGCTAGATCACTAACAAGGACATCCCTTGGCACCCAGTGGCCATGTTTTGAGGAAGCCCAAGCAACATGAAGAAGCCCCGTGGAGATGTTGAAGCTGACAGCCAGCTGCAAATGCTGGACTTGTGAGTGGGAGAGCCTTCTGTTCATTCAAGTCCCCAGTCTTGGAGCTGTCCTAGATGACCCCAAGTGGAGCAGAGATCTGTACCTGCCCAGCCTACGCTTACTGTGTGTGTGTGCAAAGATACTGCCCCACACCAGGTAAAGTGGTCAGGACAGATTTTAATCAGCAGTATGCTATTGCAGTAGAAAAGAGAGTCCCACATGAACTGAACTCAACTTTGATTTACACGGAGGGGACTGGAGTTTTAAAGGGAGAATGACAGAACAGGGTGGGTCAGGCTCAGAGTCAGGAAGTGAAAAATGACAAAAAGCTGGAAGGAGGAGGAGTTGGTTCATGTAACACCCATCTGGGTTTGTTAATTGGAGCTTATGGAAGTTAGGCTCCTACCCTCCACAGAGGCTGGAAGACAGAAACCCTATCTTCAGGAGTTGGAATAAATGGTAAATTCTTTTGGCAGTTTTGAGTTTTTGCAGGCAGATTTCTTTAAGGCAGGGCTAGGGTCACCTTAGGGATGGATCTGTTAGAATCTATGTTTAAGTCTTTATAGGCCAGGGTAAGGCTTAGTGAAGAAAGGGCTCACAGGAGCCTGGCTGGAGTTTGGTCAAGGAGAAAATCAACCTTTCTCCCTCCGTCCCTCTCTTTCTCAAACACACACACACACACACACACACACACACACGAATCATTGGTTTCCTTTTTGGACACAGATGGAAGCATTAAAACAGATCATTGGATGTGGTGATTATGGGTCATTAGTGACCTTTGAAATAACTTGTTTCATTAGAAGTTAGAGCAGAAGTTAACATTGCAGGGGTTTAAAATTGAGTTAGGAGAATACATTTGAGGGCCTTCTGTGTGTCAATCTCGTCCTTTAATTTTCACACCTGTACGACGTGGCTAATACCCTTATCTTACTGATGTAGCTCAGAAAGGTTAATTGCCCAAAGCCATTAAGAAGGAGAGGAGGGATTAAAATGTAGGCTGATTTCTAAGACTGCTTTCCCTTATGCCACGCCGTTCAAGAAGGAATAACGGGGGACAAAATGCTGATCTCCGTCTATGGGAGAAGCTGAAGAAGGAGCACACGTAAGAGATAGTGCGGAGTTCATAAGCTATTAAGTATAGACAGAGTGTCACACATTTCTGACAATTTCCATGAAGTTCCGGTAAGGCGGAAGCAAAATAAAAGGGCTGTTAGGGTCACACTCAGGGACGCAACCCTGGCCCGCGACCCTCGGGCAGCCGCTTTGGTCGGGTCCTGGCCGGGGAGGCCTGGGCCGGACCAGGAGGCCGAGGAAACGGGCATTGCTTGACAGTGAGCTCGGAGAAGAGCTCAAGCAGGAAAGGGCCCGGCCGCGGCGATCCTGCGGAGGCTTCTGGACTCAGCCGCCGAGCTGGAGCACGCCCACAGGAGAGCCGGCGGTGACCATGGCAACGCGCGGACGTCCGCCGCGCCGGTTGCCAACGGCCGGGCCCTCGTTGGGGGGCGGGACTGGGCGGGGCGGGCGCGCGGGTCACGTGGCTCGGGGCGGGGCCTGCGCGGGGCCAACCTGGAGCGAGTCGGGAGCAGGCGGCGAGACCCGAGCGGTGGGACCCGAGCGAAGGCAGCGCCGAGGCCGCCGTGCCCTGCCGGGCCGCCCCAGCCGCCGCCATGGGCAGTGAGTAGCGGCGGCGCGGCTCTCGCTGGGCTCCGGGCCCCCACCGGCTGCGGGCGGTGGGGCGGGGTCGGGCGGGCGTCCGCCCCGCGGTCGTCCAGGCCGGGAGCCGGAGAGGAGCGGGCCCCGCCGGGCCGCTGCGGAGGGCGCGGGCCGGGGGCCTCGGCCGAGGCTCCTTCGGCGGTGCGGCCTTGCCGGGGCTGGCTGCGGGGACCCGGGCCCGGAGGCCCGGGGTTTGCGCTCGCTAGGTGGCGGGGAGCGGAGGACGGCGAGGGGAAGCCATTGGTTTTGGGGGCGGGGAGTTAGGGAACCGAGCGAAACCTGGACCGCTTCGAATTTTTCAGGAGCTTAGGAAGCTCATATTTTTATTCCCAAATCACCCTTCTTTGGCATGTTAGTTGTGATGAATAAAGCTCTCTGACTTATTTCGATTTTTTAAAAAGTGATGCAAGGCATGTATTTTAGGGGAGGAAAGAAGTGCGATTGGCAGCATAGCGTTTTCCCTAACAGTTATTTTGTAGCGTTGACTGAAAACTCACTGTGTGTAAGGTTGTATAAGCCTTAGGGACCAGGCCTTGAATTATGGCGATCTTTGAGGGCCATCTCCTGAATACTCAACCCCACATGCATTCACGTATGTACTTACATAGCTGTTCAGATGTTTGTTGGGTGAATGGTTAAAGTGCAGACCTGAGCGGTACACCCTTTGGCCAACTAATGGACATTTAGAAAGGAAGTAGAGGAGACCCCTGACCTTGAATTTACACAGTATAATCGGTGACATTCTGCAACACAAGAATAGACAAGTGGCCGACAGAAGCATGAACTCTCCAACACCGATGATCCTAAAATGCCAAGAAATCTGGGAGGGTGGTTTAGATTGAGGTGGGATGGAAAAGGGTAAGGAGTCTAGGAAGTTTCCTGACGTGGTTGATAATTTGTGTTGCATTAGAGAAGAATGCTTCTGTAATTCAGGTTTACTTTCCAAATAGTCCAAAATGGCACTTGGGCAATGAGTATCTGCCTATGGGAATTTCTGAATTATTCTGTCAGGCATCAGTGACTGCCATCATTTTGAGAGGTTTCATGAGAAGATTATATAGTCAGCTTTTGGCTAACTATGTAAGCGTAATTACTCAGGTCAGTTTTAAAACAATGTCATGATGTTAGGATGCAGAATTCCAGCCTCTGTAGGGGAAGATGATCGTAACTAATAGCTAGCTGGTTGAACCAGCCTTCTTGTGTTTCTGCACATTACAGACGCTGGCAAAGACAGAGAATATCATCTCATTCTCCAGTTCTTTGGCAGGAATTGACTTAAGCTATGCCAGAATATAGTGTCTATCCTTAAAGAACCTTGGTTTGTCTTACTTTGATATATAATGAGTTATCTGGGAAAGCAGTACTTTCTCTTGAAATGTCATGGTCATTTTCTGGGCTGATTGTCCTACATACACAAGTACTTTGAAGATCATTATGTGGGAGAGCAACCAAGCAATGAATGTTGACTTAAGTGAAATGAATTAGAGATTGTATACCTTAAAAAAAAAAAAAAAGCTCTCTATGATTCCATGATCTTTCTCACTTATGCATTTCATCATCTTTCAGTCTAAATTAAGTCCTGCAATTTCAGCCCATTTCTTATTGTACTTTCCTCCTGTATTTCTCCCCTGATAACGTCTTATTTTCGGCTACAGTGCATTGTCGTGTGGGTAACATAGTAGACTGCATTTGCTTTTTTTTGATGTAGTGATGCTCATGGAATTATTCTTTTTCTGTATATATAAAAGGGCTGGATATAAGCATGAGGAAGCAAAATCATGGTAGAAGGGTGTTTGTATTTGCTCTACTGACTAAACCCTTAAACCTTTTGGATTCTTTTGTCCCTTGATTATTTCTCTTCCCCGATATATTTGAAATGGAGAGCACTATGATTACTTCTGGAGGTAGGAATGGGATGAATTGTCATTAAAAGTTAGAGAACGTTTGTATTTGTTTCTATAAAAAGGTACATCTCTTTTTAAAACCTTTGTTAACAGAGACATTCTTCTTTTTTTTTTCTTAACAGTCAAATTTTTAGAAGTTATCAAACCTTTCTGTGCAGTTCTACCAGAAATTCAGAAACCTGAAAGGAAAGTAAGTATAACATTTTGGTAATATAGAGGGTAGCTAAATGACTTATTCTACTGAACTAGCAAAATTGATTTACTGTCCCCAACCCTTTTCTGGTGTATTTGGAGAAAATAGTACCTGCTGCTTCTTGCAAGAGGCACAAAGTAAGTAAAACTAGTTTAAACCAGTTTAGATAGGTAATCTTGTGGTTTTAAAAAATGACTTTAAGTTGGGACATTTCCAAACCAAGTGTTTCTTTGGCCTCTGTGTTAGATAAGATATTCTCCTATCTCTAGTGACCCACTGCACTGTGAATGACTGAGTCTGCTGGGTCACTTTTGATGAATACGACTGTTTTACATAAATGAATTACAATTGTGCAAGTATATACCTCCCATTTCTTGGTCATTCGATACACAGAAAAATCACAGAAATGCATTCAGAAAATAATATGACTGCACCAAATTATTCCTCAGTCATTGTGCACTTTTGGAGCTCCGGTATTTAAATTCAGAAATATTGTTAATCCCACACTGGCCAATTCCCTTCTCTGCTTTTGATATCTCACAAAACTAACAGGAATAGGTGTGTAGAAAGAGATAAGTAAAACTTTTGTTAAACTTACTGCTTTATTTAGAAGTGTTTTTTTTTTTTTTATTGCTTTGAGGTTTTAAAAATAGTTGTTTCAGGTTACATGTTAGGCATCCCAAGAAGCTCTAGCTTTTCATATTCCATGAAATATTCATACAATATTATCATGGGCAGTCCATGCTTTGCACAGTGCTATGTTAACTGAAATGCATGCATGTTGGATTTGTGTCTTGTTTTTCATCCTTTTTGGTTTCAGTTAAAGTACAGTGTGATGAGGCCTGCCTGTATTTAATTTACTTAATTTTTGGAAAAGTAAAGAAGGTTATGTTTGAAAAGTTGAGCTGTTTGCTTTAGCTGGTAATAACTAGACGAGAGTATCTTAATCGTAAATAATAGGAGCCTGTCATGATGCAGAATGTTATGCTTTAATGTGGAATTTCGCTTTGTATTTGCTATTTCTTGGTTTTGATTGATCATCCTTATTTTGTTATAGATCCAGTTTAGAGAGAAGGTACTATGGACTGCCATAACTCTCTTCATTTTCTTAGTATGTTGTCAGGTATGTAACCAAAATATTAATTAAATGTCTATGCTGGTGTTGGAGGGCTTTGTTTGGTTACAATTTGAGAAATTTATTTTAGTTAAAATAATAAATATCCTGAATTATTTTGAGCATTGTTATTTTTAATCTGAGTTGATGGTGAAAATGGTTATCTTGTCCTACTGTGTATTTTTTTTTTTTTATTAGTGGGTTTGAACATTTTTTTCTTTTTTTCTCTTAGTGTGCAGTTAATGATCTTTACCCATTTTTTCTTGAGATTTTTTTTCATATTAAGACAGATTTTTATATATGAAAGCGTTAAAGCTTTGACATAATACATTGCAAATATTTTTTCCCTATCTTGTTGGCCTTTAATCGTGTTGTAAATAGCATGTATTAGTTTAAAAATCCTGAAAAGTCAAATTCTAGAACCCCAGTGATATACTGTATTTATAAATTGATAGAACTCAGTGATGCTTTTTATTAATATTTTACAGAGATTAAGTTCACAAAATGAGGATAAAATGTGACCTGTCCCTGTCACAGGATTGTTGTGAGGATTAAACTAGATGATTTAGTTGCAAGTTTTCTGAGGATTTTGAAGAGCTATTGAAATACATATAAGGAAGTATAAAAAAAATTATATTAGGAAGCAGTAGAGCAGATTAAGTCCATAGTCTGGGGAAAAGCCAAATGTATTTTTTTTGAAGAGTAAAGTGATTTGGTCATTTGGTCATTAAGGAAACTGTACTTAGTTTAAAATTGTTTTGGGCGATCGGGGAGAGAACTTTTTTTAAATACAGAAAAGTGGAGAGAAAAAAAGAATAGTCATCCATATTTTTACCACCTATTTTTAACATCTTAGAAATTCCCCTCCCCTCCATAAAAAAAATCAGATTTATAAAGGTATAATTTATGTATGGTAAAATACACTTATTTTTTTAAGTGTACATTTTGAAGCGTTTTGACAAATGCATACACCCACATACCTACTACCTCAGTGGATACAGAACATTCTGTCACTCCAGAAAGTTCTGTGTAATCTCTTAGTCAGTCTGCACCTCACCCCCAGTGTCAGGCAAGCACTGATCTGCTTTCTGTTCCTATAATTTGATTTGTGTTTTTTTTTTGTTTTTTTTTTTAGAATTTCATCTAAGTGGAATCATACAGTATCATTCCTTAGCATCTGGCTTTATCATGAGCATTTTGAGATTTGTCCATGTGATTGGTAGAGCAGTAATTCATCCCTTCTTATTTCTGAGGAGTGTTCTACTGGATGACTATACACCATTTGTTCATCTGTTCACTTGTTGTTGGACATTTGGGTTGTTTCCAAATTTTGGCTATAATAAAGTTGCTGTGAACATTCCTGGGCAAGACTTTCTGTGAATATTTGTTTTCATTTCTCTTGGGTGAATACCTAGGAGTAGAATTGCTGGGTTGTATGGTAATTACAGGTTCAGCTTTATAAGAAATTGTCAAACTTTTTTCTAAGTGGTTGTCCCGTTTTATATTTTTACCAGTCATGTATAGTAGTTCCAGTTACTTCCCATCCTTGCCTGCCCTTGGTATTGTTGAGCATTTTAGTATTAGTCATTCTACTGGGTGTGGTTTTAAATTTAATTTGCATTTCCCTGGTAAACGATATTGAGCAGTTTGTTCATGTGCTTATAGGGCATTTGTTTATCTTCTGTGAAGTTTCTTTTTCAAATATTTTGCCCATTAAAAAAATTATTGTCTCATTGAATTATATGCATTTTTTAAAGATTTTTTAAAATTTATTAGAGAGAGAGAGTGAGCACAAGCAGGGGGGAGGAACAGAGGGAGAAGGAGAAGCAGACTCCCTGCTGAGCAGAGAGCCTAATGTGGCGCTTGATCCCAGGACCCTGAGATCATGACCTGAGCTGAAGGCAGATGCTTAATTGACTGAGCCACCCAGGTGCCCCGAATTATATGCATTTTTAAAATATTTTCTGGATACAGGTCCTTTGTCAGGTAAATGTACTGTGACTATGTTTTGCTAGTCTATGGCTTGCCTTTTCATTTTCTTATTATCTTGTAAAGAGCAAAAATCCTTCATTTTGAAGTTCAACGTGTCTGTTTTCTTTGATGGTTCGTGGTTTTTGTTTCCTATCTTCTAAGGTTGTGAAGATTTTCTCCTGTATTCTTCTAAATATTTTATAGTCTTAGCTTGTATGTTTTGGACTGTGATCTAGTCCAAGTTAATTTTTGTGTATGGTGTAAGTAAGGTTGTTCATTTTTTTCTGTTTAGATAGCCAGAAAAGGCTATTCTTTCTCCATTGAATTATCTTGGCATCTTTGTTGAAAATCAATTAACTGCATAAGTGTGGATATATTTTTGTACTCTGTTCCATTCATGTATATTCCATCGTTATGGTCACACTGATTACCGTAGCTTTATATTAAGTCCTGTAATCAGGTTGTAAAAGTCTTTCAACTTTGTTTTTCCTTTTCAAAGTGGTTTTTGGTTATTCTAGTTTCTTCATATTTCTGTATAGATTTTCGAATCAGCTTGTCAGTTTCTATAAGAAAGCTTGCTGGGATTATGATTTGTATTGCTTTGAATTTATAGATAAATTTAGAGAAAATTACCTTCTTGACAATATTGAATCTTCTAATCTAAGGGTCAGCAAACATTGTTCTGTGAAGGGCTAGGTAGTAAGTATTTTAAGCTTGGCTGCTAGAACCCAAGAACCATAGGAACTGTGTCACTCAAAAAGTGTATTTCTCACAACTGTTTCATGCAATGAATTAATTTGTGCATTTTATGTTACTTTATTATTTTTTTCTGCAGTATAATTGCATAGTTGCTATCCTGTTTTTCATGTCTTTCTCATGTTTAGGCAGTTCTGCCCAGTGCTGGTGATTTCTTGATTCTCTTTCCACTGAATCTCAGACAGGTTTATTTTCCCCTCCCAGCCGCAGTTAAAAGGGCTTGGCGTCTCCTGTTTCACCCAGTTTTCTTTCTTTCTTTATTTTTTTTAAAGATCTTATTTATTTCTTTGAGAGAGAGAGAGAATGAGAGATGGAAAGCATGAGAGGGAAGAGGGTCAGAGGGAGAAGCAGGCTTCCCGCGGAGCAGGGAGCCCGATGTGGGGATCGATTCCAGGATCCTGGGACCATGACCTGAGCCGAAGGCAGATGCTTAGTGACTGAGCCACCCAGGCGCCCCTCACCCAGTTTTCTTTAGCTTGAGGGGGTGGTGGGAGGTGAGATAAGGTGTGATGAGTGCAGTAATTGTTACCTGGGTCAGCTGTCTCTTCTTCCAAGGTGGTTCTCACCAGGTGACTGAAGAAGGCTGACCTCAGATCATCCCTCATTCCCAACTCACGGTGGCCCTGTAATTGTCACCAGCAGAGAGCCCCATTGCTCACTTCTCTCATCCGTTTCTTCCCAGCTGCTGTTTCTAGTCCCTTCTAACCAAAGGAGGCAAAAAGATAAGGCTATTTGTGAAGCCTGCTCTTCTCCAGATTTGGAATGTTGTGGGAATTGTGAGGATTGTGTTGCCTTCCCATCCTGACATTTGGAGCAGCTTCGTGCTGGGCTCTCTACTTCTCAGTTGTCTGAAGTTTTCTCGCCCCCATGACCACCAGTGCTTCAAGTTCATGATCCCTTTTCTTCTTTGGCTGCTTTATGGATTTTTTTTCTTTTTCCTTAGTTTTTTTTTTTTTTTTTGTAGGCTCCATATCCAGCGTGGAACCCAATGTGGGGCTTGATTTCAGTACCCTGAGTTGATCTCAAGATCGGAGCTGAGATCGAGTCGGATGCTCAGCCAGCTGAGCTACGCAGGCACCCATTTTTTCCTTAGCTTTTTTCACTCTTGTTAGCTTCTACTATTGTACATGTTTTGTGTTTTCTTGGGGCACCTGGGTGGCTCAGTTGTCTGCCTTCAGTTCAGGTCATGATCCCAGGGTCCTAGGATCGAGCCCCACATCGGGCTCCCTGCTCCGCGGGAAGCCTGCTTCTCCTTCTCCCACTCCCCCTGCTTGTGTTCCCTCTCTCACTGTCTCTCTCTGTCAAATAAAATCTTTAAAAAAAAAAAAAAGTGTGTTTTCTTATGCATTGGGGAGTTGCTTCTCAACTATTGTACATAAACCCATAGCTATGGATTTTACTGAGAGGAATAAAATCAGACACTGAGTTTAACAATCCTGTTGTCTTCAGGAAAGGAGGGAATGCCATTACTTAGAGGAAGTTGGCTGACTTTTTCTTGTTCATTGTCCCACAAATCATCTAATTGTGGAGGTAATGGCCATCTCTATCAGGTGCAATTAAGCAGAGTAATTTGACTGACTGACCTCTCTCCCACTTAGGGAATATTGTGATGTGGACTATCCTGTAGTGTTAATTGGTTTTTATACAGTAACTTCCTCCCTGTCTCTCACATTAGCTGAAGAGTGTCTGCAGCGTTAGGGTACATAAAATATCCATGCTTCTTGCTTCACCAGTTTTGCTACCAGCTAATAAATCCAGATGTCCAGAAAGGGTGAGGTTGACCAGATGGATTGTTCAGAATCGTTGGCAGCATCTTTTGGAACTTTAAAAAAAATCAGCTTTGTATAAAGAAGGTTTTTGAAATTGGAAATGTATTTTTCTTTGTGTCTGATCCCCACATGGTGAGGGAAGGGTTATGACCAGGTGCTGTGTCCTGAACGTTGGTCATATAATAGGAAACATTCTGAAGTGAAGAGTTTCTTTTTTTTTCTGATGAAAAAGTAATATGCGCTTATTATAGAAAATTTGATAAATGCTGAGAAGAATAAAGAAAAAGGTATAATCCTACTACCTACAGATAATTACTCTTCAGGACTTTAAGTATTTACACTTAGTTTTATCTTTTACACATTTTTACGGTGTTGAACTTTCATTTTTACAGTATTGAACTTTCATTTATATAATTCTGTACCTTTCTTTTTATAGCAGGGTTTCTCAACAATGGCACTGAATTTTAGGCCAGTTAATTCTTTGTTGTGGGGTCATTGTAGGATGTTCAGCATCCCTGACCTCTACCCACTAGATGCCTGTAGCATTTCTCTTCAAGTTGTGACAACCAGAATGTCTTTGGATATTGCCAGATGTCCCCTGGGGGGCAGAATTGCCCCAGGTTGAGAACCACAGTGTCATACTTGGTATTACAACATAAGCACTTCTTTTTGCTATTAAAAGCTTCTTTAAGCTTCTTTTCGATGGTTGCATAATATTCCACCATATATATACACACATATATATATGTGTATATATATAATCTTCAGTCTTATATTTAGAGTGTGGCTGTGGCTGTCATTAGTACCCAGAGCTTAGCAAAATTATTCTGTGACTGGATGGATATATCCTGTAATTTACTGATGGAGTGTTCTTTTAATTGTAAAAAAAACACAAAATTTACATCTTAGTCATTTTTAAGCATACAGTTCAGTAGTGTTAAGTGTATTCACATTGCTGTGCAACAAATCTTCATCCTGATAGGTATGTGTACTAGTAGATTTGTGTAAGTAGTAATTTCTATTGTTTTTATTTTTGATAAAAAACTTCCTTTAGGGTATGCTTGTTTTGTTACAGAACATGAGAAGTAGTGTTTTTTTTTTTAAGTATTGCAAATATTAAGTAAAAGAAGTATGAATTAAGTTCCAACTTAATTTACATAATGCATTTTTAGAAACTGTTTTATGTAATACTATAGATACCACTATTTGGAATCATGTCATCAGATTCTGCAGATCCTTTCTACTGGATGAGAGTTATTCTTGCATCCAACAGAGGTATGTACTTCTTTTTTTCTTCTTTTTTTTTTTTTGCCTCCATACGAGGCATTAGTATTGACATCAAGTAGATGTGAAAATGTGGAAACAACTATTTTGATGTCTACAGGGGTGGGGAGCATATGGTAAAAGAAACCCGTTGCCTAGGAAAAGAGACCAACATGTAAATACTTACAAAACTCTGTATGTATTGTAATAATAGAAATATGTACAGAGTGTAGGTGTACAACAGAGAATGGAGTGATAGCACCGTCTGGAGCTTTGTCCTCCATCCTTTTATGGGTCATATTTTCTTTGAGACTCAAATTTTTTTTTAATAGTATTACTTTATTTACTTACTTATTTAATTTAAATTCAACTAGCCAAGGTATAGTACATCATGAGTTTTTGATATAATGTTTAATGATTCATTAGTTGAATATAACTAATTAAATTTATGTATACTCTCCCAAGTAAAAAAAATCATATACACTCACCCTCACAGATTTTGCATAAAACCTTTGGAGCTTCATGGACCCTCTGCAGTCTGGTCCGTGGGTTTTGCATGGGCCTGAAAGACCCTGATCTGCAGTGTCAGAGGCGATAGTACTGGAATAGCATTTGAATTGGAGTTCAATATGTGGAGCAATGGGAGAGGGAAGACTGAGCTAGAAGCCCATGTGCATAAGGCAGTGGCTAAAGAGATAGGTAGGGACTGGATCATGAGGGGTTTTGTTGGTAATTTTTTTAGATTAAAATAGAAATAATGGTTAATCATTAAAAAATGCACCAAAATTTGATGCAGTTTTATATAAAGCTGAAAATGAAAGTCTTACATCTCAGGGGTAACTCCTGGGAGGATAATAGGTTGGTGAATATCTGTCCAGACCTTTCTCTGCATATACATTCACATATATAAATTTAAATTTATTTGACCCTTGAACAACATAGCTTTGAACTGTGTAGGTCCACTTCTATGTGGATTTTTTTTTTTAATAAATACAGCGCAGTGTTCTAAACGTATTTTTTCTTCCTTAGGACATTTTTCATAACATTTTCTTTTCTAGCTGACTTAATTACAAGAATATAGTATATAATACATAACATGCAAAATATGTGTTAATTGACTGTTGATGTTATTGGTAAGGCTTCCGGTCAACAATAGGCTATTAGTAGTTAAGTTTTTGTTTTGGGGAGTCAAAAGTTATACATGGATTTTTGACTGCATGGGGGGGGTCAGTGTCTCTAACCCCTCCAGGGTCAACTGGGGTTTGTTTTTGTTTTTGTTTTTTTTAAAGGTTTATTTATTTGACAGAGAGAGAGACACAGCGAGAGAGGGAACGCAAGCGGGGGGAGTGGGAGAGGGAGAAGCAGGCTTGCCGCTGAGCAGGGAGCCCGATGTGGGGCTCGATCCCAGGACCCTGGGATCATGACCTGAGCCGAAGGCAGTCGCTTAACGACTGAGCCACCCAGGCGCCCCTGTGCTTGCTTTTTTTTTTTTTTAACTAAAAAATAAGATAAATTATGTAACTATTCTACTTAGTGTGTTTACTCAATTTCTTGGAAGAGTTGTTTCATTTACAGGCTATATACTGTTCCATTCTATGGCTATGTCATGAATTATTTAATCATTCAGGTCTTTTTTGAGTTCTTACTCTGTGGCGAGCTTTGTGCTAGGTGCTGAGATTAGAGCAGTGATCAAGACAATGTCCCCGTTGTCATGGAGTTTATATTATTCTAACTGGGGAGATGTCCTCTACATGAAGTACATTTTGGGTGAGGGGAGGGACATTGGAGCAGAGACCTACAGGACACGAGAGAGAAGGCCATGTGAAGATCTGCGGGAGGAACATTGTAGGGAATAGCATGCGCCCAGGCCCCGAGATGGGAGTGTGCTTAATATGTTCAGGGAAGGATGAGGAGTCAGTGTGGCTAGGAAAAAAAAAAAAGAAAGGAGTAATGAGGTAGAACACGGTATTACAGATGAGTCCAAGAGCCAGATCATAAAGGGTTTAGAGACAAAGTAAGGAGGGTCCTTTAAATGTGATTCCAGGCCATTAGGGTCCTCTTCTGTCACACATTTAGTTTTTTCCCCAGTTTTGTATCATTTTAACCAGTGCTACCATGAATGCTATCACTGTAATGCTCTATGCTGTCATTTTTTTTTTTTTTTAAGATTTTATTCATTTATTTGACAGGGAGAGAGAGAACACAAGCAGGGGGAGTGGGAAAGGGAGAAGCAGGCCTCCCGTGGAGCAGGGAGCCCAATGTGGGGCTCGATCCCAGGACCCTGAGATTGTGACCTGAGCTGAAGGCAGACGCTTAACAACTGAGCCACCTAGGCGCCCCTCCTGTCATTTTTTAATAGAATTAATTTCTAGAAGTTTTAACTGTGCAAGGTACATAACACCTAAATTTTTGATAAATAATGCTAAATTAACTTCCAAAAAGATGTATTATTTTATACACTGAGCCGTTGTATATGAGAATATTTTTCTTCCAACAGTGGATATTAATAGTCTTTTAGTCTTTGGAAGTTGGACAGGTAAAAATTGGTATCTGTTATTTAATTTGTTTTTCTTTATATATTGGTGAGCTTGAACATCATATTTTTATTGAATATTTGAATTTTTTTCTGAGTGGACTTGTTTTAAGCAATAGAAAATTATTGACCGGTTTAAACACAAAAATGGAATTTATTAGAAAGGTAGTGATTATTTTTTGGACTCCATAGGGGAGGTAGAACAACTAAGCCTGGGCTGGGAGAGAAAACCAGGGCAGCTTTAGATTGGCAGCAGGGATTGGGAACTTTTTCTTTGGGATTTAGCTCCCCAAATTCCTGGGTTCTTCGGTTCTTAGCTCAAAATTCCAAACTACAGGATTTACACCGGGCTCAGTCAGCTTTGGTTAGAGTGTCAGGGTTACATAGTTCAGATTTGGGTGTGGGGGTCCCCTCCTGCACTGTCAGTATTTCCTGAGAAAGACCGTCCCTGGGAGCAGCCATACTGTGTTCTCTCTTTCTCCTTTTTAATTCTTTTTTCCTATTGGTTTGTTCATTTTTAACTGATTTGGAAGCACTCTTAGCATATTGGAGATAGGAACTCTCATTTGAGTTCAAGTATTTTTCTTCTAACTTTTATGCTGCCCTTTTTTTTTTTAAACTTTTATGCGGTGTTTTAGCGCGTGGGATTTTCGTAGTTGTATCTAACCATAGCATCATCTTTTTCATTGTGGGTTCTAGGTTTTTTTGTCATGCTTAGGAAGTTTTTTTCTTTTCCAAGATGATAAGCATACTTACTTCTAGTATTTTTTCATTTGTCTCTTACGGTTAAATTTTCTATACATCGGGCCTTTATTTTGATGTAAGTCATGAGGTAAGAAATGCAGGTGTGATTTTTTACAAATGGCCATTTGGTGAGGTCCACTTATCCTTTTCCCTACTGATTTGAGGTGCCATATTTCTTATATGAAATTGTCATCAAAGTTTGTATTTATTCTCAGACTAGATCCATTTGACAGTTAAAATTTTGTGATTTGATTTAAAAAAAAATGTTTACCTTCCTACCTACTTCTCTCTACCTGCTGGTTTTAACAGTAAGAAATGTTACCTTTTACTGTTGAAATATTTGAGAAGACATGAAGAATCCTCCTAGGATGGAATCTCTTCTCATATTAAGGGTACTTTTTCAACTTTATAAAAGCCAGGATTTAAGGTTGTGGTATGACAGAATGACCAGTGGAAACATATTCTTGATGATGTAGAATTACTCGTTTTACATGTTAACTTGTACACTGGCATATTTGGTTTTCTTATTTTTCACTATAAGTACAGTATGTATTTTCTGTTAAAAAAAAAACTTAAAAAATCAAGAGAGGCAAAAAGAAGAAAAATAATTCTCACTGGGTAAAAATAACTGTATCCTGACAACCTGACTAAAATATCGGGAAACTATTTTTCCACCTAAGTATTAACTGAAATCTAACTGTAATACTGTTTTCCAAATTTTTTATTTTTCTATCCACTAAGTCATGAACATTTTTCATGCCACTCACTAAATGTTCTACAACATTGATTTAGATGACTCTCTATGTAATTTTAGAATTTGAATTAGAAGAGTCACAAATATTCTTAAATGTCATTTTTTTATTAACTTGGTATTTAATTCTCAGGCTTGGTATGTACTTCTTATTTTGCATTAAAATAAAATGTTCAGTGTAAGTTTTAAAAATAATGATTTGGACAGAAATTTTGGAAGGTTTCTTTCAAAGGATTTAACATTTTAAATTTAGAATTTACAGAAATTTACCTTTTTTGGGGATAGTAATTTTGACTCAATGAGTTGTTGCAAGGTTGTGTTAATAGATGAAGTAAATAGGGCACCTGGGTGGCTCAGTCGTTAAGTGTCTGCCTTCAAAAAAAAAAAAAAAAGTGTCTGCCTTCAGCTCAGGTCATGGTCCCAGGGTCCTGGGATCGAGCCCTGCATTGGGCTCCCTGCTCCGCGGGAAGCCTGCTTCTCCCTCTCCCACTCCCCCTGCTTGTGTTCCCTCTCTCGCTGTGTCTCTCTCTGTCAAATAAATGAATAAAATCTTTAAATAAATAAATAAATAAATGAAGTAAATAGGGCGCCTGGTGGCTCAGTTGGTTGGGCGACTGCCTTCGGTTCACGTCATGATCCTGGAGTCCCGTGATCGAGTCCCGCATCGGGCTCCCTGCTCAGCAGGGAGTCTGCTTCTCCCTCTGGTCCAACCCCCTCTCATGCTCTCTCTCTCTGAAAAAAATAAATAAAATCTTAAAAAAAATATGTAAATAAATGTGTTAATCAGTGTTTAAAGAATGAATATGTGCCTATTAACATTTGAGCATGTGTTTTAATAGACATAATGAAGGATTGCAACACTTGTAAACTAATCTGCATTGGTTATAGTAAAGATTATTTACTTTTTTCCTTCTCCTCTACAGGAACTTTAATGGAATTGGGTATCTCCCCAATTGTAACATCTGGTTTGATTATGCAGTTGTTAGCTGGAGCCAAAATCATTGAAGTTGGAGACACACCCAAAGATAGAGCTCTATTCAATGGAGCCCAGAAACGTGAGCTATTAATACACTTAAAGAGTCTTTTCCAAATTTGAGAATTTTGTGGTAAAGATATTTTTCTAGTCTTTCTTGTCTTTGGTTGTAAGCATGTACTCCTTTTCCCCCAATTTTTGTCAGTATTTGGTATGATCATTACCATTGGGCAAGCCATTGTGTATGTCATGACGGGCATGTATGGGGATCCTGCTGAAATGGGTGCTGGAATCTGTCTCCTTATCATTATTCAGGTAAGAAATCCAGTTTTTCATCTGCAGATAACAAAACAGTTTGATCCCTTTTTTCTTTTCTAACAACTCTTTAAGTGGTTGATACATTAGTTTTCTTGCTTTTGAATTATTTAATTATAAGATTTTGATTATTGAAGTGACATGTACAAATTGTGTTGATATAAAAAAAATTAAAATTTGTTTTAATAGCCTGATTGCTGCATAGTATAAGGAATTATGGATCAGCTGTATTTCACTGATTCTTAGATGCACATTTTTTACTTTTTGATGTTTCTGAGATCAGGATTTTTTTTTTAAGATTTTTATTTATTTGAGGGTGGGAGAGAGCAGGAGCAGGGGAAGGGGCAGAGGGAGAGGTAGAAGCAGAAGCAGATTCCGCACTGAGCAGGGAGCCGATACGGGGCTCAATTCCAGGACCCTGGGCTCATGACCTGAGCTGAAGTCAGACGCTTAAGCGACTGAGCCACGCAGGCGCCCAGGATGTTTTTTCTTATAGCGGATAGTGCCCCACGTTTGTTGTCAGCCAGGCAGCAGTCGTGATAGGAGTCATTGTCTGCATATGTGTGTCAGCTGGTTAGAGCTATTCACATGTTCATTGCATCAATTGGTTATGTGCATTGTTGGTGTAACATGTTTTTGAGATTAGTTGCTGTTTAAAATGTCTGCAAAAGTCTCTGGTTTGTTATGAACAGTCACTGTGTGTACGCAAAGGCACAGAACAGGCTAGATGATAAAATCTGTGTGTAGGTCTAAAATATTTTCTTTGTAAGTGGAAAATAAAAATTCTTTGTGATAAGTTACTGTCATGGTTTAATTGGCAGTATTTTTTTTCTCTGTTAGTGGTATACACAATAATGGCATTACAAATAATATCTCACAGCTAGTAAAACACATGAACCTGTATACATATATTCCATGGATTTTTAAAATAGACCCTTCGGAACTGAACTTTTAAAGTCCAACATAATTATCCCTGTACTAAGTATCTCAAAGTGTGTCAAATTTAGAAGATATTTTTCTAATGTACGATCCTTAAAAATCATTTAGAGAAGCTACCCAAGAATGGATTGTACTTAAGTTATGTAATAGTTATTTATGGGATTTTGAAAAGAAGTTTGATAAGCACGGCATCTAGAGTCCTTGTTATTTTGGAAATGCTTCTTCTCGCTCACTCTATGGAATTAGTATTCACTTAGGAACATTTTTTTTTTTAAAGATTTTATTTATTTATTTGACAGAGAGAGACACAGCAAGAGAGGGAACATAAGCCGGGGGAGTGGGAGAGGGAGAAGCAGACTCAGCTGGGAGCCCGATGGGGGCTCGATCCCAGGACCCTGGGATCATGACCTGAGCCGAAGGCAGACGCTTGACGACTGAGCCACCCAGGCGCCCCAGGAACATTTTTTTTAATGGTCAAAGCATTAATTTCAGAAAAATATTTTTAAATAAAAGTGAAATACCAACTTAGTAATATATACATTGAGAAATAGGACCATTTCAGATTGGCATGGTTGACCATTCGTTTTTAATGAGAAACCTTATATAGGAAGCAGATCAAAATAAGATCATGTAGTGAGTATGATTAGAACAAGGAGAATTGGGTTGTTCAAGTATTTATTGGTGTCATTAACAGAGGGGGGCTCTTCTAGCTAGATGGAAATATTTTGTCTTTTGACCAGGTGAGGAATTTTTAGTGGATTATCAGTCTTTGGTAGGTTTCTGAGCCCTAGTGAATTCCCATAATGTTGTCCTTATTTCTCCATTTTAAAAAAAACCCTGATTGGCAAATTTATAACCTTTGAGAATTAGAGGAAGAAGAGTTGCGGTGGCTTGGGGAGAGAAGATCCTCTGAAAAGTGATTTGGATGTCTTTCAGTGCTTAGGATCTCTCTACATGCTTTTGGCATTGTTGATACCAATGCATCAATTGTTGTCTTATTTTGTTTCTTTATAATAGCTTTTGCTTTATGCAACCTGTAGTTCAGAATAGCTCTGATTTTTATTTATATGTATTTTAAAGATTTTATTTATTTATTTGAGCGAGAGGGAGGAAGGGAGAGAGAGAGAGAGAGAGAGAGCATGAGCAGGGGGAGGGGCAGCGGGAGAGGGAGAAGCAGACCCCCGCCTATCAGGGAGCCCAACCCCAGGACCCTGGGATCATGACCCGAGCCAGAGACAGACACTTAACCAACTGAGCCACCCAGGCGCCCCCAGAATAACCCCGATTGTTAAAAAGACAGAATTGGCACCTAGCTCTTAGAACATTATGCTCCAGTACACTTTTTCTAGTATTTTAGTAAGGTATTTTTGGATTCTTGAAGAACCTCATCTGACCAGTTTTGGGTTAAAGCATTGACTCCTGTGGAGTCGTTACAAATTTGAATTTGAGATAAGAACAGAGTTAAGCTATTTTAATTTTTTCCCCCAGTATCAGAAGTCAAGGAATAGTTATATTCCGGGAATGAAATAAATGGATATATATATACTTTTTTTTTTTTACAGAAATTCTGGCATACAAATGCTTGTGGTTAATTCTTTCAGTGTTAACGTATAGAGAAATGTGTTTGATCATAGGTGGGTAGTGTGTCTTTTAAGGCATTGCTAACATTGAAAATATGTGGATACACTGAAGAGAGATGATTGGATCAGTGTGTTTCACCCAGAAACATAGACTTTGAAAACTGTTTGCATGCTGTTAGGTAAGGTATTTCTCACCTTAATTATTCTTGTTTCCTTCATTTGGTCATGTCTTTGAACTAGTGAGATTTGAAATCTAAATAGTGGGTCTTGATTAAAATAACAGAGTAGAAAATATCAGTGTGCATGGCACGTAGGAAAGGTAAGTATTGTTTTGTCCAATTGCGTGTGTGTGTGCGCGCGCGCATGCACAAACAGAGTTGAAATGTAGAGCTATTTTTGTGCCTAATTTAGAGATTTATAGGTATAGCACATTCCACAAGCGCATGCAATTAGCATTCAGTCTCCCTCACTGTTGTAGTCAACGAGATGCTGTAACTTCCTGGTTTCTCAGTGTCTCCTGCCTCAGAGGCATAGTTCACATGCTTTTTACTGTCTTTTATCTTACTCTTTTGATTATAGAAACCATTTCTCATTTAGACTTCTCTATGCCAGTTAGAAAAATATGAGTTTTGATTTTTGCAGGACATACATGAATCACCCTGTAGTCTGATGGTTATTGGTCTGAACAGGGGGTTTGGAGAATTACAGGTATTTCAGAATGACTTTATGACTCTGGACAGGTCATTTAATCAGAAGCCCATGATCAGACTTTTTGGTGGGCTGATAGTTTGTGGACAGCTATTATTCCCTGCACAAATTTGGTTTTCTGATTGGGAGTATTTATTTACTTATTACATAATTGTGGTCAAAATAAAATCTCAGTAGTAAGGCCTAACTTCTCTTTTATCTTGTCAAAGTGTTAAACTTGGTTTTCAAACAGTAAAGGATTCATGAGCACTCTTAGAAGTTTGAAGAATTGTACCCTTTTTCCAATCCTTTGAAAATCAAACTAAAAGACTAATAGACCATTTAGGCTCTGTACAACCACTGAAATGACAGTTAAGGAAAAAAAAACCTCTGCAGAAGGTAAGCATGCTTAAAATGGTGGACTGTAGCTTGTTTGCTCTCTTTTGTAATGGGGGATGTCAGGTAAGCTGAGTAAGTAATAGGGTGGGAGGCTTCAGGGCTGGGCAGAATGGAGGTGGCATTTCCTCACTTACGTAGGATGGGGTTTTTAAAATGGGGACAGGTGTGAGGTTGGAGGTGTAGAAGCATATTTTCTTCCCCTCTTGATTAGGTTACTGCAGTGCAGGGAAGACATGACTGTGGAGGTCACTTGCCAGGCTATGGGTTATTTTTAATTGGTGCATACTATTACGGAAATGTCTTCTCCAAGAGGAAAATTAAGAATTTTCAATTTCACATAAATTAAACTTAGTATGCTTTTGTTTTTAAAAAAGGATGAGCTTAAGAACCTGGCAAATCCTTGTCTTCACATTTACCTTCAATCTTTGTCACTGTGGGTATGGAGTGCATTTTTGACATTGTTATAATCTCTATACATATTAATTTGTGCTCTTTTTGACTTATTCTCTCTATATATTACAGTTGCCCCTTGAACAACACAGGTGTTGGGGCGCTGACCACCCCCCATGCAGTTGAAAACCACATATAACTTTTGACTCCCTCAAAACTTAACTACTAACAGCCCACTGTTTACCTGAAGCCTTGTCGATAGCATAAATGGCCAGTTAACTCACATTTTGTATGTTATATACCATGTTTATATGATATAGTAAGCTAGAAAAAAGATTATTAAAAAAATCAGAAGGAAGAGAAAATACATTTATAGTATTTATAAAAAAAAAATCTGTTTATATGTGGACCTGTGTTGTTCAAACCTGTGTTGTTCACTGGTAACTGTATATGTAATGTATTAAAGTATTACATAGAATACCTTAAAAATGTCTCAGCCTAGTTTACATACTTCTCCTTTAGTGGCAGTATACAATTGTGTCTTGTTATTATACCATATTTCATTTGGTCTTTCACTTCCTTGGAACTACTTGGAATGTTTTCAGTTTTTTGCTGTCCTAAATTGAACAAGTTTGAACGTTTTGTATTGTGCTTTTCAGTAGGCCTTACTTAAACATTGTAAGAGAAACTATTCAGATGGTTTATAAATGTGCTTTAAAGGTTGAAATGTCTGCTTTATGATGTAGCAATTTTTCCACCCCTCTGACTTGCAGAACTGACTTCTGACTAAAGTGGGGTTTAAAAAGATGCAGAATCCTAACAGTGATATTGCAACAATTAGGTTTTAGTATTAAAAACGCCCATACTTTGCAAGTAGTCAATGGTATTCCTCTTCCCCTTTCTTGAGTTTATTCTTGCTTCAGCTTACTTGCATTTCTTTCCCCACAGTTGTTTGTTGCTGGTTTGATTGTGCTGCTGTTAGATGAGCTGCTACAGAAGGGTTACGGCTTGGGGTCTGGTATTTCCCTCTTTATTGCCACCAACATCTGTGAAACCATTGTCTGGAAGGCCTTTAGTCCCACTACTATTAACACTGGCAGAGGTACATTGCACAGTGACTGCAACTGCACGAGTTTTGCTGGATGTGTGCTGGAAAGTAACCCGTCACGGAGCAGGACATGCCTGTAAACATCCTGGTTTGCTGTCCCAGGGGACACCTGATGCTAATTGCTCAAGAGTTAAGCAGCAGAGATTTGTGGAGTATGAAACAATACTTCAGAAAGAATTATATCTAAGTCTTAGCCTCTGCTCATTGAAAATTTCAGTGGTTGCAAACAGCTTTTTAAAATGTTACTTACTTAAGCCACTGCTGCAGAAGTCATTGACCGATTTCCGCATTCCCAGGGGGATAAAAAGGTAGTGGATTAAGATTTTTCAAATGAAAACGCTATTATTTATTGTATCATCAGGGAGCACTAATACTTTTGCTGCTATTCTCCTTGGCTTTGTAATAGCAACTAAATTTTGAAATCCTGCATTCTGTCTTTCCCCTTACCCATCTCCGTTTATCTCAAATGCCATCCAGGCTCCGTAACAGTTAACGTCTAAACTGATCCCAGCCTTAAGAAAAGAGCAATGATGGTTTACTAGTATTCTTGGTAAAATACAAGCCAGCTCGAGAGAGTGACATAGATGTTTTGAGTCTGACATCTTTATTCTGCTTTGCTGTTGCTTTCCCCTCTCCTTAAAAATACTCCTTTCCCTTCCCTAAAGTAAAGGAGAGGCAAATCATTATGACCTAAATATTTGCTTAGGTTTATTCTACTTTGGCTGTTTTCATCAAGAATAGTCTCTTGAGAAAACTTGAGATTCGTGCTAATAAAAAAGATATTTTTGCCTCAATGATGTGAAGATTTTTGGAAGCTCCACACATGGCTGTATTATAAACATCGATGAATGATTTTGACTCCTATTTTCTGCCATGTACTGGAGGTTCAAGGTTATTTGTTTGACCTTCGGGACAGCTTTGGAGAAAGAGTCTACAGTGAATTTCTCTCTTGATTTATCAGGCACTGAGTTTGAGGGTGCAGTCATAGCACTCTTTCACTTACTGGCCACCAGGACAGACAAGGTCCGCGCTTTACGGGAGGCTTTCTATCGTCAGAACTTACCCAATCTCATGAACCTCATTGCTACGGTTTTTGTGTTTGCTGTTGTTATATATTTTCAGGTACGTATACTTTTTTCACCGAAGTCGGTGGAATGTGGATTTTTGTTGTGCTCTTGAAGAAAAGAATGCCATTTGAAATGTCAGTATCTAACAAGTCAGTGTTGCAGAATCTAGTCAAGCAAATAATTCTATTCTTTCGACTGTGAGGTGCAAAATATTGGTGGTGATGGCATAGAACAGGAGTTCCGTGTGTGCATGTGTGCGTGGGGGGGTGGGTGTAGGGAAAATGTTAGCGTTGCTTCTCACACTCCGCAGTGTATTGTTCTGCCTGTCATCTGGGTTCTTTACTTGAGATGTGCACTCACTCTTACTTCCTCTTCATTTTAATTTTTTAGGGATTTCGTGTTGACTTGCCCATCAAGTCGGCCCGGTATCGAGGACAGTACAGTAGCTATCCCATCAAGCTCTTCTACACCTCGAACATTCCCATTATTCTCCAGTCGGCCTTAGTGTCAAACCTGTATGTTATTTCCCAGATGCTGTCTGTTCGATTTAGTGGCAACTTTTTAGTAAATTTACTAGGACAGTGGGCTGTGAGTATTTTATTTATTCTAAGCATTTGTATTTATTGTAATTTCCATTTCATGGTTATATTTTTAACTGAAAGAGATGAGCCATAATTGAAGCAGTTGCTATAACATGTTCAGATTCACTTCCCTGTCGCAGAGTTCATAATTTTTTGGAAAGACGTTTTACCCCCATCTTTCATGGCCTGGGTGGCAATAAACCACTTGTGATTAACTGGGCTAGAGACAGGCCTGTGATTACTATACTGGAGAGAGCACAGAGTTACCAGAAATAGAATCCAGCACTTTCTGACCCCCCCCTTTTTTTTTTTAAAGTTTAACAGGATAAGACAGTACTCTTGAGTGTTAGTTGAAGGAAATAGGATTCCCCTTATCCACAGTACTCTTTCTCTGCTCATGTAACAGAAATGTGATTGCCTGTCATGAGGGAAGATGTGGTCCCTCCCTTTGTGAGCTAATAATCCATCAGTAATTATTACTGTAATAATTTCATAGCAATAAGTATATTGAGTGGCTGTATATAGATTGTGTTGTGATCTTAACTAAGTTCCTTTTTAATGAGAGAATTACTGGGAAGTTGAATTACGTCTATAAAGAGTACTTTTGATTGGGGATTAGTGATTCTAGGGGCACAGTAAAGAAATCAGTTTGAAATATATATTCAGGAACTAGACATTGTAATCATTGCAGCCAGAAATTGCTTTCACACCCCCTGTGCCCCAGAATTTACACTGTTCCCAGTTCTGTTACTATAAAAATTCTTTAATGTTTGTCTGGCTAAAAATCCTATGATAAATAATTTATTAAAGGACTATTTCTTACACAAGACATATGAAGTTTAGGCAGTGAGTTGTTAGTCGTCTGTCAATATTTCAATTGATTGTATTCTTCATAGAATACTTTGAAGTGAAAAGATATGGAGCATACTCTTGTATAGTTAAAGTGCAGAAAGTTTCAGATTCTAAATGTAATCAGAGATTGACAATAAATATAATGATATTACTGTCTTTAGGAAAAGAAGAGAGATTTTTTTTTGGTAAATGTATTATAATGTTGGTTTTTAAAAGATCACTCTTCTGTTAATAATAAATTCACAGTGTCTTTTATATAATAGATGCTCACTATATAATTTTGAAGGAGTGAAGATAATAGACACAAAAGTAAATCTTTAAGTTACATAGACTTGTTAGCTGTAGGTGCTTTGAGCTTAAAGCATTGTTGTAATTTTTGAGGAGTTTGAAAAGTCATAAAAATGTATCTAGACCAGTTGGGTTCACCATCTATCCTTTTTATTCTTGTTATGTAGGATGTCAGTGGGGGAGGACCTGCTCGTTCTTACCCAGTGGGAGGCCTCTGTTACTATCTTTCTCCTCCTGAGTCCATGGGCGCCATATTTGAGGATCCTGTCCATGTGGTTGTTTATATCATCTTCATGTTGGGATCATGTGCATTCTTTTCTAAGACATGGATAGAGGTGTCTGGTTCCTCAGCCAAAGATGTAAGTATTTATTTTATTTGAAAATAAACGTTTTTATTTTCAAAATGGTAATTGAAACACTTTTAATTACTTTTGTAATTTAAACTTTTAAGTCATACATTCTTAATAATGAGGTAATATCACCCCTGAGGGGTTAAAAACTGGTTTCTGGAAGGTGGAAAAATTCTTAGATTTTTACAGTGGTTTGTGAACCCTCCAAAGCTGAACCCTACCCAACAAATTCTTATTCCTTAGTGTTTAATTTCTGTTTAGGGAGGTGAAAAATGGAAAAAGATTGAGAAACACTGGTTTAATGTGTGGGTAATAGGTGGTGTGCAACATTGAGCCTCAGGTGTAATGGGAATGATATGACAGTGCCTACTTAATGGTCTCATATTTGATTTACTGGTGTGTGGAAAGCCACTTCACACAGAACCTGGTAGGTAGTAAACAGTGAAATATTTATAGTTTGATTTTATAAGTTGTTTTTCTCTTGGCAGGTAGCTAAGCAGCTTAAAGAACAGCAAATGGTAATGAGGGGCCACAGAGATACCTCTATGGTTCATGAACTTAATAGGTAAGGTCATGAGATTTAATCCTTGGCGTGTGTGTGTGTGTGTGTGTGTGTGTATGTATACATGTATTTGGTTTTTCAGTCTTTATTGTCACATGTTATCCTGTTTGAATATGAAGCATCTTTTTTCTGCTTCACACAGAAGCAGCAAAATTTAACACAATACTGAATTGTTCTCTAAAATTATTCCCCATCAAAGTTGACATCTAAATTATTTTTTAAAATTGTGTTCCCTTCACTGCTCAGCCCAGTATTTAAAATGTTCCTGATTGGAGGTCCTCATTGTCTGGCTGCACATAAAATCACCTGGGAGCTTTTAAAAAGTTCTGATGTTCCACCTCTAGGAATTGTGATTTATTTGGTCTAGGGTGGATCCCATCATTAGTTTATTTTTTGATAACAGCTTTATTGAGCTATAATTCACATCCCATGTAATTCATTCATTTGAATTACATGGTTTAGTGTTTTTGTTTTTAGTATATTCAGAGTGTGTAATCATTACAATGTAATTTAAAAAACATTTTTGGGCGCCTGGGTGGCTCAGTTGGTTAAGCGACTGCCTTCGGCTCAGGTCATGATCCTGGAGTCCCGGGATCGAGTCCCACATCGGGCTTCTTGCTCAGCAGGGAGTCTGCTTCTCCCTCTGACCCTCTTCCCTCTCGTGCTTTCTATCTCTCATTCTCTCTCTCTCTCAAATAAATAAATAAAATCTTTAAAAAAAAACAAAAAACAAAACATTTTTGTCACCGGAGTGCCTGGCTGGCTCCCAAGAGTGTCAGACTCTTGATCTCAGGGTTGTGGGTTTGAGCCCAACATAGGGTGTAGAGAGTACTAAAAACAAAACAAAACAAAACACAACCCAAGTTGTGTTAAAGTTAAAAAACAAACCAGAAGCATTAAAAAACAAACCAGAAGCATTTTCATCACCCAGAAAGACACCTTGTACCTATTGGTTATTCCCCATTCCTATGTTACCTCCCACCCCCGAGCCAACTTTTTACTTTTGATCTCTACAGATTTGCCTCTTCTGGACATTTCATGTAAATGGACTTGTGATCTTTGGTGAAGAGCTTTTTTCACTTGGCGTAAAGTTTTCAGGGTTCATGCATTATTTGTGAACAATATTCCATCGTATGGATGTACTAAATCCCATTTGTTTATCCATTCATCAGTTGATGGAGATTTTGGTGGTTTCCAGTTTTTGACTATCAGAAATAACACTATTAATAATATGTTTGTACACGTTTTGTGTGGCCATGTTTTCATTGCTGTAGGAGTGGAATTTTGTTGGGGCATCTAGTAACTCTGTGTTTAACATATGGCGGAACTGGCAGCTATTTTCCAGTGTGACTGTACTGGTCTGCATTCCCACCAGCAGTAGATGAAGCTTCCAGTTGTTCACATCCTTGCGAGCACCACTTCTTGCTTTTTGATTAAAGCCACCTCGTGGGTAGGAAGTGGCAGCTTTTTGGTGGCTTTGATTTACATTTCCCTGATGAGTAATGACGTTGAACGTATTTTCATGCATTTAATTAGCTATTTGTGTATCTTCTTTGGAGAAATGTCTTTTCAGATCGTTTGCTTGTTTTTAATCATATTGTCTTTTTGTTACCGAGTTGTAAGATTCTTAAAAAAAAGTATTTTGGATATGCCTCTTCTCAGGTATATGATTTATAAATATTTTATTGCCATTCTATGGGTTGTCTTTTCACTTTCTTGGTGTCCTTTGATGCACAAGTTGTTAATTTAGATGAAGTTCAGTTTCTCTTGGTTGCTTTGCACTGCTCTTAGTGTTTACGTAGGAAACCATTGCCTAACCCCAAGGTCACAAAGATTTATTCTTGTTTTCCATTAGGAGTCTCGGCTCTTACATTCAGGTCTTTGAACCGCTTTGAGCTAATTTGTTTTGTGTTTAGTGTGAAATAGGGATCCAGATTTCTTTTTGTGCATGTGGATATCCAGTTCCAGAGCCATTGGTTGAAAGGCACTTGTATTTTTATGTAAACTTTATTTCGCACATAGGTTGCAGAGAGTAGTAGAGCGAACCTCCAGGTACGCAGTTTGTGTCTGGCTTCCGTGGTTAGCCTCATTCTGCCATCCCTGTTCATCCCCCATCTCCCCCAGGCTTTCTCCCCCCTTCTTTCTGGAGTATTTTAAACACAATCCCATTGTTTTTAAGAGTTCTTCAGGTGATTCTAAACGTGCAGCCAAGATTGAGTTACTATAAAAGAGGATCATCCATATCTTGTCACATAAATTTGATACTTAAAAAGCATTTTGAAATTTACTCTTCATCTACAAGAGTGAGCTAAAGATGACCTATTTAAAGTAGTACATATTTTAATACTTAAATCTGTTGAGGATTCCAGCCTTCTGCCATAAAAATCACGTATTGCTTTTCTTGGCTATTGACTGGTTTCTGGAAATCGGGGTCCCGTCCTTCCCTGAGTCACAAAGTCTCCACCAGCATGTCAGCACTGTGTGGGACACGCACGCACGCCATCCCTGCAGACGGTGTCCCCCCCCGCCCCCCGCTGGTGTAGTGTGCCGATAACACACCGGCATCCCATGTCCCCTCCCGTGTCCCCGCGCTGGCTGACTGAGGCTCTGTCTTGCAGGTACATCCCCACGGCGGCCGCGTTTGGTGGCCTGTGCATCGGCGCCCTGTCGGTGTTAGCCGACTTCCTCGGGGCCATCGGCTCTGGCACTGGCATCCTGCTTGCGGTCACTATTATTTATCAGTATTTTGAAATTTTTGTCAAGGAACAGGCTGAAGTCGGTGGGATGGGTGCTTTGTTTTTCTAAATGTTCCAATATTTCTTCTTGTGTGTGTGAAAGGGAAAATACTTTTGACACAATGTTTTTGTCCAGTAATGCTGGTTCCCCTTTCCTTCCCTCACAGTTTGTGTTCACGTGCTCACTGGCCCGTTTGTGAAATGGGCGCCGAGCTGAGCCTGTGTGCAGCATGAGTACCAGCTGCCTTAAAACTAAAGTTTACATTATTCGTTCGAAAATGTCCCTGTAGTGTTGCCTGTGATGCTGGAAAGCAGTGTAGCTGCCGTGCCCTGCTCACTTGGGCCGGCGAGACGGTGGTGTGGATCAGTTTTGCACACAACATTCAGAACACTCACTCTTACCCCCACTTGTTTAAAAATAAATGTAGTTCAAATTGCCACTTTCCAGTATTTTTGAGCTTATTTAATGAGTTCTGGAACATTTGTATCTAATCTGTATTTTAGATATAATTAACTTTTTATACTTTTTTAACTCCTCGTATCCACGGTCCCCCCCCCCGCCCCCCGACTCGGCCCCTCAGCCCACATGCGCCCCGTGGAACTTCAGTTCCAGCGGGTCCTAGAAACCCCTGCTTGTAATTACTCCTCCTGGTTTTCATTCCTTTCTTCCCAGTGACAGCAGTCGGTGCTGTTTTACTGTATTGGCTATGCCTTTGAATTCCAACACGTCACTTAAGAATATTCTTTCAAGATACGATGCCCCAGTTCTTTTCTTTTTTTTTAAATCCCTAAAGCAAAGCTCTAATTCTCACGCAATGTCTGTGGTTCAGTGGGGGTGAACAATGGGTAATTCATGCTAGGAATTTGTGTACGTTGTTGTACGTGACAGCAGCAACATGGGTGTAAACAGTAGAAAATAAAACTTTATTTGATAAAACTGTTTCAGTTGTGTTGGAAAAATAAAATCGGATATTAAATGATTTCTAAGATTATTTGTATAGGTTCATCGTAATCCTACAAAACCCATCCTGAGAGGTTGTGGCAAGAGGTCAAACGTTAATTATAATTTAGTGTTTAATCCTAAACCTGTTGAGGAACAGGGACCAGCTTAAAGGTGCTCAGTTATGCGACTGACACTGGAAAAAATAGGAAAACAGCAGTCTCAGGTAACATCCCAATCTCCATCCGAAGTAGCATAGCTCTTTATAATTTTTTAAACTGTGTGCTCTGTTGGCCACAAAGAGATCACACTTCATTTTTGAAAGATCCTTTTCAGAAGTAAGGGTTTCCATTGTTTACTTTCTTAGTAGTGCAGGAAGTACATCTTATTTAGGCCGGATCACAAAGCCAAATGGCTACAGGGAGGCAGATAAAACAGAACCTGCAGGACAGGAACAGTGGTCATCTGGAGGATATCTCCTCAGGGCCTCAGACCACTGTGACCATAGACATGTGGATTCAGTGTTGTCATGATTTTTTTTTTCCCCCAAGAGAAGGTGGAAATAGGGCTTTTTATGGGAAAGCTTGCACTTTCAAATGCTCTTGAATGACCAGTGCGAGCCACGGGAAACATCCAGACTGCCGGCTCTTGAACTGACCTGACTTCCCAAGTACAGCCTTGGACGTTTAAAGGTTAACATAAAGGGCATTAGGGGTATATTCTAGGATTTAGCTGTCACTTCTAATTTGCATTCTTGGGAAGAGAAAAAGAAAGGACAGGTAGGGGTTATACAGATCTCTCTTCCACCAACATTTAAAAGGAGGTTTCTCAGTTCTTGGGAGTGGCTTTGAAAGAGCTGGTCTGTTCGGAGACTGGTCTGTGCCTGAGTCTGTGTATTTTCCATATGCCATCTGTTTCTTGATTTTTGAAGGAGGGCAGTAACGGGGGAGATTATAGAACTTGGCCTTTGGGAGCTCAGGGAGAAGGAGTAAGGTCTCTGGAGAATCATGATGCCTAGGATTAAAAATAAGGATTTTTTTTAAAAAGGGTTAGGGGCACAGGGGAAGGCTACTATTAGAGCAAGTAGTTGGGGGCCTAATTTTTGCAATATTTACAGAGTAGACTTAATCTAGACAGTTGTCCAGTTCCCTATTTTCCTCCTTTGTTTAGAAGTCTAATAGATCTTGTATTTTTGCTCACAAAAACATGTCTGGATACAGAGATGAACACAGTGATACACTGAACACACAGTGACGCTGTAGACAAATGAACTATATTACGGCGTTCTTGGCATCTGTATCCTGGTTTTATCTGGTTTGAGGGGCCTGAGCCCCGATTTAGGGCTGGCCAGGGAGCAGCACTCTGAGACTTCCAGTGGGGGCTCTCCAGAACGATCCAGCAAGATCGTTCTGGAGCCGCTGGAGGCCACAGAAGTCAACACGAGGGCCGAGCTCAGCCAAAAGATGAGAAAACGGCCCAGGACCACTGGTAGACCTTTTGGATGATGGGGGCTTTAGGCATGGCCTGAGCCGGAGACAGTGGCCCTGTTCTCCCCTGTTAAGGTAGCTGGACTGGGTTTCTGGTATTTGCTGACCTTGCTGGCTACACTCCAGGTTCAACACCAAGACAGTGATGCCCCCCCAGCCACGTAAATGGATTTGGTTTTAGAAACTTGAAGTACTTTCTGAGGTAAGGATAGGAAATGAAATTCTAAAGTATATACACCTGCTTGAGGGAAGGGCCCTGTATTTTCATTAGCTTCTTATTAACCTTGTTATACTGAATGGAATCAATCATTTTTCATTACCTAACAAACAGCTTGTTTACCTTCAGTAGTTAGGTGGGTAGGAGGACACTAGCCAAATGTAAACATTTGCTTCTCATGAATGTTATTCTCTGGTGATTTTACACTCTGCTATAGCGGATAATTAGGAGGACCACCATGAAAGTCCCTGTATAGGCCTGTCTTTAAAAAAAAAAACAAAAAACTTTGTTTCAAACACTGACGTAGTAGATAGTTATTTGCATACCTAGTTACAGACGTTTATATGGGGGCTTAGGGTGGGAATAATTGACTGAATTTGGAATTCAGGTCATTTTTCTTCTAGAAATATCCTGTTGGAGTAGATTAGATAAGGAACAGCTGAACTTTAAACTGGATTAAAAACTGGGTACCTGCATTTATCTTCTTTTTCATAACTATTTGCTGGAGTTTAGCATTTAAATGAAGACTACAGCCTCCCTGTAATTACAATTCCATATCACCACAGGTATTCTTTGTTGCTTTTATTTAATGAAAAAAGCTAATTTCAAGTCTACAGTAAGCTAAACTGAATACAAAGTCTTAGTGAAGGAGGCCTGGTGGTCTTGTTTATAAAAACATGGCTACTGTCCTTTGGCCTTAAAACTTCAGGAAAGGCACTTCAAACGGCTTCGTGTTTGCATGTTTCAGTGCCAGAGCGTAGGAATAGACCCTGGCGTCCACGGTCAGATGTTCTTCAGCTACCAGAGCTAGAGGAAGCAAAGGATACAAGTTAGATAGTGAAGTTAATCAAGGACAATGCCCCTTATCAATCAGCCCGTCTTTACTGAGCTACTACTATGTGCCAGGTCCTGTGCCGGATGCCGGAGGTAAAGTGGTGAACAAGACATTTTCTGCCTTCAAGGATCTTACTCTAGTGAGATAGAAGATGAAAGGATATATAAGCAGGATTACAGTATCAGCAAGAGACAAGAACAAGAAAAAAGCATAAAGGCAGAAGATCACACACCTGAGATGATTTTATGTGTTAAAACAGCAACGTTTTAGTTTGTAGATAGATTTGTTTATTTATAGCTCGTTCTAGGGCTCAGTGGTGATTCTTCAGTCCCTCATAGAGGGGTTCATCTGTCTTCTCCACCGCTAGGGAATACGTATTTTCTATCCACAAGTTAAGCTGTGTGCACGACAGGACTGGAATTCTAGCAAGAATGAGGTCTGAGGGGCGCCTGGGTGGCTCAGTTGGTTGAGCGTCTGCCTTCGGCTCAGGTCATGATCCCGGGGTCCTGGGATCGAGCCCCGCATCGGGCTCCCTGCTTGGCGGGGAGTCTGCTTCTCCCTCTGCCTGCCCCCGGTGGTGCTTACTCTCTCTCTCAAATAAATAAAATCTTTTTTTTTTTTTTTTTTTAAAGAATGACGTCTCAGCATCTTACGCTGTACAGTGGGCTTTAACGAGAACTTCTGTGTCGCTCTGGTGGAGGTGATCAGACTTGGCCTCTGTCACTTGTTTTCCTAGCCACTAGTGCAGGAACACGCTCAGAGACGTGCTGATCCTGGAAGGCAGGGTTAGGTCCTCCTCTGTGTGGCAGGTGCTTGGTAAGTGTTGAAAGTTACTCCTTAGAGCAAACCACTCAAAATACCTTCCCAAATGTTAACTTGTTGAATAAATGGTTTGATTGCTGTATTTTGATTCTAATAAAGCTAGGAAAAAGGGTTCTTTTCCCCCCTTCCTCTTTCTACAGATCTGTCTCTGTCTTCCCCTCTTCTAAGGCTAGACGGAGGTGAAGTTGGACGGAAGGGAGAAGTTAGTTCTTTGCGAGAATACTTCTCGAAGACATACAGCATCTAACATTTAAGCCCTTTAGTGCCAACATTATCTTGTTTAATTTTACTGCTGCCTCCTCAGAGACGGGGGCTACCTCTCGTCCTGTTTTAGGAGAAAAGCCGGGAGAGGCTGCAAAACGCGTTCTGGTTCGTGACTGATACACGGTCAGCTGAGGGGACCCAGGCAGACGCGACAGACTCCGAGTTGTGCGGTCCGTTGCTGGCAGCTACAGCTTTCTCTAAGTAAACCGTGGCTTGCTTCGGTGTGAGCGTTTCTAATCTGAGACCCTGGCCTAGTTTTACCTCAGGCCTAGTTTTTATTTTTTTATCTTATTTTTTTAAAGATCTTATTTATTTATTTGACAGAGAGAGAGAATGAGCATAAGCTGGGGGAGGGGCAGAGGGAGAGGGAGAAGCAGGCTCCCCGCACAGAGCCCGGAGCCCGATGCGGGGCTCGATCCCAGGACCCTGGGATCATGACCCAAGCCGAAGGCAGATGCTTAATGACTGAGCCACCCAGGCGCCCCTCAGGTCTAGTTTTTAAAAAACATAAAGTAGGAAGGGGTGCATTCTGGGAATTCTGAAATCACAGTCGTTTTTGGAAGCTCATGCTTACTTCTAAACCAACACAGACATCAGAAATAAAACTGTAAGCCAGTGGTTCTTATAGAAGGAGAGGAAGAGAGAGCCCTCAAAGCCTCAGGTCAAACAGTGCCTCAAGTTACTTTTTGAAGTAAAAATTTTAAAAAACATGCAAATTAAGAAGATTATCTGTTTCTTTACAAATGAGTGAATGGGGCCCTCCCAGCTGGGCCTCTGTCTGTCTCCAGTACAGTACATCCTACTGTGGCTTTATCAGGGGACGTTTGTCCACATAACCTTAATTTTTTACCAAATCCCTAGGAGATGGGTTGACCAGGAATTACACGATGTAATTACATGACCAGTGGTTTACTAGGGGTCACACTGGTAGTCTGATTCATTATATCGGCATATTGCTCTTCATATACCTCCATCTTTGTAGAAGGAATATTGTTAAATTCTCCTTTAACTTCAATCCTGCACAGAGAACCATCCAGCAGGTTAGCATCTTTGAGGGTCAGCTAAGAGATACCTACTTAGGCCTCTGCATTGCCCTGGATTAGAGATTTGAGGTATAGAATTTTGGCAAATCTGTAGGAATATGATCCTGACTCTTCTATAGGAAAAAAAAAAAAATCCACCCTACTGAAAGCTTTCACTTGACGTAGAATGTTTTGCTTACATTTTCAAACTCTATGCCACCCAGAAAGGAAAATTACTGTTGGTGAATTGCAGTTGTACAACAGTTTCTAGGTATTTGACTTTAATGAGGAAGACTATAATCACAAAAGGGGAATTCTATTTAGTGCCCCACTGGATGGGGCTGGGGATGGGGAAAATTGAGGAAGTTGGGGAATAGTCTTAATGCTTACCATCAAGTCTCTTCAGCAGGTCATTCTTTGGTAAGGAAATTACTTCGACAAATTCTAAACAAACAAAGTGCAAATGAAAACAAAGCTGAAGAATAAGAGGGCCTACCAGAACACCACAAAATGCCTGCAGCCATTTCCACCGCGCTAAGCCATTCACACGGTCAGCCACTGCTAGCTGGGTAACATACCTCCATCTCCTAAAAACAAACAGAGGGATGACGCTGTGGTCAAACACTGCAAGACTTTTGTGCAAGACACACCGAGAAGGGTGCAAGAATTCAAGAGAAACTTGGGTCTCTACTAATTTCATCTGGGGACGTGGTAAAAAGCATTCCAACAGTACAAAATTATTATTGTTCTCCAAATCAAATGTGTAATAGCAACATTTAAAGCATGTTCTAGGATACATACACATGCATTTTTCAGTTGTTAAAATACACAAAATTCACCATTTTAACCGTTTTTAAAGGTCAGGGGCATTAAATACACTCACGCTGCTGTGCAGTTATCAGCACTATCCTTCTCTGGAGCTTTCTCAGCCTCACAAAGAGAAGCGTGGTAGCCACTAAGCAGTGCGTCCCCATACACGCTGACCTCTATTCTACTTTCTGTCTCTATGAATACCTGGATTTTAGGTAACCTCATATGGGTGGAAGCACAAGATTTATGCTTAAAAATTTTTTTTCTTTTTAGAAGTGAGCTCTATGCCCAACGTGGGGCCTGAACTCATGACCTGGAGGTCAAGAGCCGCATGCTCCATGGACTGGGCCAGCCCGGTGTCCCTATTTATGCTTTTTGTCTCACTGCACTAAGCACTCGGCACAGCGTTTCAGACTTCATCCTGTTACAGCCTGCGCCAGCAGGTCTCTTTAAGGGCTGGATGCTATCCCGCTGTGCATCTGCTAATGGACACCTTTCAGGTACCGTGAGGGCGGCTACATGAACGCTGGTGTGCAAGTACCTGGGTGAGCCCCTGCCCCTGCTTTCAGTGCTTTGCAGTGTAGACCTAGGAGTGGAACTGCTGGCTAATGGTGATCCTGTTGACCTCTGAGGACGGCTCTTGCACTGCATGTCATACGCGTATTAGCAAGTCTGAACTGAGCATTTAGAATCAGCTGCGAAGGGACTGGAACATTCAGGAGCACGTGAGGCGGTGAGAAATGGAAGAGTACGGCTGTGACGTGACTGTGTGTGTGTGTGTGACACGTGACTGTGCATGTGTGTGATACGTGACTGTGTGACACGACTGTGTGCGACACGGGACTGTGCAACACGTGACTGTGTGTGTGTGTGTGAGAGCACCACCTGGAATGGGGTGGGAGACGACATGGACGGACAGGCATCAAAGCTCGAGTTTGAACTTGCTGAGAAATTAATAATAGAGCCAGGAACTTCCTAAACGCTTCTCTAAGAACGGAACCCCATGAAGACTAGTCAGCTGTTACCTGCTCACAATAATTTATGCCATTCTTATAACACACGAAGACAGAAACGAGTGATTCTGAAGATTTTCACTGTTGACTATTCAGATCTGTGGCTCATATTACCACGTGGGCATAAACACACAGAAAATACGTAAATATTGTTAATTTGACATTTTATAAAGAAAGCAAAAAGGTCAGTAAGCGTTGAAAGAAAAATGCCAAAGGACCCAAGATTAGGAAAAGAGCCTGGAGTACTGACGACGGACCTACAAGCCTATTCTGACAAGTCAGAAACCGAATCAGTAGCAAGTTAAATGGTCTTTAACGCAACAGCACCTTAAACGTATCCGCCGCACACTCACCTGGCTTCGGCTTAGGCCTCACGTTTTCAGCATCATCCCCATTAATAGTCACCGTCACGATGTGTGTGGTACAGTTTGTCAGACCTGGATCCATACATACAGCTGCGGAGAGAAGTGACAGGTCACCCTGACAGACACCAGTCACGTGCCATCTCTTTCGTTACTTAAATGTCTTCAGAAGAAAACCGGGCTCATGATTCACAGTTAACACAGAACTCGTGCAGGCAAACGACGGTTGGCCCGATCCCTTTGGTAGCGCTGCAGGACCGCCGAGCATGCGCGTAGCCAGCACTTGTACTTTCCCCCGAGTTCCTGAGTTCGGTAAGTCTGAGGGGTTAGGCGGTACTGCCATGCTGTCAACTCCTTTCATCACCACAAGAAACAAACTCTAGTGAGGTGGCTGGCACATGGATGAGGTAAGAAAGCATAAAGCTTAGGACGTGGGAAACTCGGGAAGGTAATGGATTTCACGTTTCTGCTCCAGCTTCAGGACCTTCTTGTTCAAACTGGCTCCCCTGTGGAGGGGAGGCTCACCGGTAGAGGGTGACCAGATCTAACTAGGATTTCTTGTCAGTGAATTAGCCAAGACAAAAGCCATCTGAATCCTGAGCATAAAGAACACCCACATTATCCTTTACACACAGAAGAATCTACGGCTTGACTAATTTTCAAGTCTGTCCCCGAGTGCACACCTGGATAGCAATACACACCTGGAGAACACTCTGCAACATCACCTTTGTAGCCAGTTTCTTCCTCAAGCTCCCGAAGAGCCGCTGCTTCTGGGCTCTCATTATCATCGATGAGACCTGGAAGTTCAAATCATTTGTGAGGTGGGCTAGGTTAAATCCAGGGTTTTGGAACCTCTCCTTCTAGTATAATTGCAGTTGAGCTACATGAGAAGAACCAGAGGACTGTGGAATGTGGTTGTACAGGTAAAACTGACTGAGGTTTGGAACTTTTTTAAGAAAAAAGGGCGAAAGAAAAAACCCTAGGCACATCGAGTAGGTTCTGGTAGCTCTCATCTGTTTGTCTTATTTAGACCTCAGCTGTTCCCAGGAGTGTCTCGGCACTTGTGTTCTGCACACGGATTCCTGTGAGGAGAAGTGGCTCAGTGCTGTTGGCCCACTGGCCTTGGTGACGGACCAGCTATGTGCCCCCGCCCAGGAAGCCTGGCACTCTTCAGTTTCCTCAGGTCACAATGTCACCTACTTGCTTTCCTCCCTTGCAGAGCGATCCTGGGGCCTGGACAGAAATGCTGGCATGAGCATCACCTGCGAGGGAGAAGGCTGGGAGGCTGGCGGACTCGAGGCAGCTGATAGGGAGGCCAAGCGGGGAGGACCGTAGAACTCGGATTATTTTACTTGAAATAACGCAATGAAAAAGTAAAATACAGCCTATTCTGTTACTTTTAAGGTTATTAATTTCTTTAGTGAAATGGCTGGTAAATGAGAAGGAAATTTGGTATGCCTTCTCATGGGCTGGAATTTCAAAGTACAAAACCTATACCGCTAATGATAAATGAGATCTAATCTCTTCCGATGGGAACAACCCAATTAAGTCCTATGATGCCATAGAGCTTCAAATTCTGGATAGCTCTACTTAACTGTGCAACTCAAGAGAATATTCTAGTGGAAGTTAAGACCGTTTCCCTGGCCTGTGTACATACAGGAAGATCAAGATGTCTTTTCCCTTCATGATTTTTGGGGTTAAGAGTCTGACCTCGTTATTACTGTGAATTTCTGGTTGGAGGCAGATCACTAGTGATAGAAAATGGAACTCAGCTGACAAATTAGGGAAACGCACTTCCTCAAAGAGGAGTTAGAATGTTGCTGAGAAGTGGCTGGGAAAGGCCGGCTGGGACGCCACCCTTGCCTCGCTCTCGGGCTTAGCGCGTCACTAGAACGCGACCGAGGGTAGCTCGCTGCAGGGATGCTTCTGTTTTACTTAAAACCACAGGGACAGATGAAAGTGTTCAGGGTCCACACGCTGCAGTGCTCGGCGCCGGGCCTGGCGGTCCCTCGGTTCAGGGACTCACCTGCAGGGAATTCTAGGCAGTAGCCTCCCATCGGTGGCCGGAACTGCTTCACCAGAACGATGCACTCGTAATGAAGAGTCCGCTGCAGCACTGGGATGACCGCCACGCCTGTGAGCAGGAGATCAAACCAAGGGAATCCCTAACGAAACGTCCGTGAGTATTTAGCACAGGGTCAAGGACACATTCCTGCCTTATGCTAACCTCTGCAGAGGCCCGTTTCTCACCCTGCAGCAAGCCAGACTGCGGGTGAAGGGACAGTCATCTACGTGCGCTTGTGCGTCCTTGAAGCAATGAATCAAGTCAGGCTTGCTGTTTGTGGTAAATGCTAGCTACACTGGATTTGATTGTTTTAGGATCAAGGACCTTTTCTCCCAAGAGAGAAAACTTTTGCATGGCCTTAAAACATAGGCAAAATCCCACTGTGTTCTGGAAAACACAAATTGCCTACGGGGAGCTCTTGGCTACTCCCTTGCCCCCAACTACCCCCACAGGCAGAAACAGCAGCTGTCGCAGCTACTCTGTGTACTTTCAGTAAAAACAGACAACAAAACGAAAGGCAGAAAAACAAAGACCTACTGCCCAACCTCTCCTAGATCAGAGGTGATTTTCAGGATCTTTGCAGTCAAAGCATTTATGCGTGGAAAGGACAGTGAAATGAATGCATAGGATAGTCTTCTCCTAATTCCATTTCCTCATCAGCTTAAAAGCAACTGGTCCATCATAAAGTAGGGCCAAATATTTTTCCAAATTAAAGGCTTTCACCTAGGTCCTCTGAAGAGAATACAGAGGATTTCGAAAAAGTCATATCTAGACAACAGTATGTGGCTTCAAGTTATACCGACTTATATTTGGCTCTAAATATTAGTAGACCTGCCCCTCAAAACATTGTACTGACCCGAGATAACAGGAGCCAGAATTATGTATCGGGAAAGCCTGACTGGGATGCCTGGGTGGTGCATTTGGTTAAGCGTCTTGATTCTTGGTTTCGGCTCAGGGTCGTGAGACCGCATGTCAGCACGGGGTCTGCTTAAACTCTCTCTCCCTCCGCCTGCCATGCTCTCTTTCTCAAATAAATAAATAAATCTTTAAAAGAAAGCCTGATTTAGTCATGTAACAATGCAAAAAGGAATAGCAGGTTTAAAGATGAAAGATCATAATTGAAGAGAACTGCTCTGAGGTCTTGGTTAAAGTAAAAAGAACCCCGCCTCCTGCAATAATGCGCGGTGACTTCCTTCATGAAGAGTTGTAACAGGTTTGCACTCCTACCATCAGCCGACTGTCCTTTCCTGGTTGTACGTTTCACAGTTTCCCAAGTTCTGTTCAGGCAGAGAAGAAAAAACAAAATCACTGGTGTTACAGAGGGGAATGTCCTTGGGTTTTCGGTCCACAACCAGAACTTTCAAATGCAAAGCATGCAAGTGTACTAATGATAATGGTCAAGAAGACCACAGCCATACACATCTGTATAGGAAAAGCCAACTGTGCTTTCCTGTAGCTCCTCAAAATTTTTCCAAAGAAAACGTGCCACCCTACATCTAACCCTCTGATGCTATCTAAAGAGAAGGCCTGTTGTTCGCTTGAGCTGCCTTTCAAATCGTTCACTGGAAATACTTCAGGTTGGATCATAAATCTACAGGTGAGCAGTCAATTAAGCTACAAAGCTACTGAGTGGTCTGTGCAAATTACGCCCCTATGAAAAGTCCAGTCTTTTTGCTAAGAACAAGAGATATTCTGCATAATATGAACTCCTGAGATGTTATTTACACATGACCTAAAATAACAATTTAAGAAAGCAGGACCATTCCATTTATTCCTTGAGGAATTATTAAATTTAGTTAAGTGCTGTCTTTTGCATGTGTGAGATCTTACCTAAGGGGAAAATGGTCCACAGAGGAAAAAGTGAGATGAGCAATGGGAGGTTCCTGCTCCCTTTCTGTGATTAGCTGTTTCTTTCTGGGGAACGCTGTCCTGAAAATCCAGTTATTGCTACAATTGTGTCACTTGTGTTTGAAGGGGAAGGACATGTGAGGGAAATTCCCCTTCACTCTCTTATCCCTTAAACAGAAAGGAGCAGTGCTAAGAGATAGGAGTGAAGAAGCAGATCAATTTTGGATCTAAGAGAAGTAAGCCATCTGAGTGGTGCTGGAGACTAGGGTAAGAAGAAAGGCATCAACGTCAGCCTCCCCACAGAAGAGTGGGTTTGAGGAGATGGGCTGCCCAGACGGGCCCTCACACCTTTGACCAGCTTGTCCTTAAGGGTTGGACTGTGCCACATTTCTATGGAAAAAAAATCTAGATTATTTAATCTAGTTAAAAAAACAAAACAAAACAAAAAAACCTTTCTGGGGGCGCCTGGGTGGCTCAGTCAGTTAAGCGTCTGCCTTCGGCTCAGATCGTGATCTCAGGGTCCTGGGATCGAGCCCCACATCGGGCTCCCTGCTCATCGGGCAGTCTGCTTCTCCCTCTGCCCTCCCCGCCTGCTGGTGCTCTCTCTCAAATAAATAAATCTTAAAAAAAAAAAACCTTTCTGTAAACTGTAGATCTTTCGGTATTATATCCAAATTCTAATGGCAAACGTGTCAAAATGAACCTATGAAAACCAAACACTATTATGGCAACTCACACCTGCCCAACATTCCTGTTAGTAACAAGAAGCCAACCAATAAGCAATTCTGATCAGTAAATAATACAGATTGCAAGAGACAAAACACCTTTTGGCATAGCTCTCTCTGCTACCTCTTAAGGTTAGTTGTAAAGACTGAAGAAGACAGTGCTGAGGAACACTGAAGGTGCCACCCCAAAAACACTAGGAATAAGGGAAACAAAAAGAGTAGCATCATTATAGTGGTTAAGATGAAGTAAAATAACCAGTAACAAGCCACGAATTGTGAGCAAGGAAATATAAATGCATTTATAAGGAACCCTAGACCAGGAATGCCCCATGAGAGCTCCAATCGTCTTCAAGGGACTCTGAGAGATGGACATTAGATTGAGTCAGAAAATCTTAGTCTCTGCCTGCCTAACAGGTAACCCCATAGCCACAAACTCCTTGAGACTGTTCTCAGTTGTAACGCTAGGGAATTAAGAGTAAGTTATCTCAAACGCCTCTTGTAGCTTTCAAATTCTGATTCTAGTTAAGCTACTCCAGTTTTTGAGTCTTTGTTATAGGAAAGCCTGTTTTCCCAGAACATATTGTTAGCCTAGTCAACAAACACAAAAGGCAGGAATGGCAATAAAGGATGACTTTGGCTCGGTCCCGAATGTCTCTAAAGGGGGATGCTGCCAGCAATTTTTACACAACTAAAATCAATTCTGTATCTTTATCCACAAATAACATGGTGGCACAAAGGATTTTCAAGCCGCTATTTCATCCTTACCGACATGCTTATGTATCAGGTACCAGATAAAACATTTGATAAGTTTATACATTATGACCTATGGGAAAGTCCAGAGATTCACTCTGCAAAGCCTGACATTTGGTACGAAATGTCAATGTGTCTTGTAAGAGCTCCTTGGAAGTCATGGGGAAGACGTCCACGTGCAAGAACAGAGGTGAACATGCTATAAAGGGCCATGTAAGCACGGTATCTGGTAGGCTTTCGAGTGCACCCCCTCAATACTGAGACAGACGCCTTGGAGGTGAGACCTGGATGCGAGTATTGTGATAAAAAGCCTCCAAGTGATTCTGATGCACATCCCTGTTAAGAAATGCTGACGGAGGAAGATAAGTCAGGTGAAGAGATGAGCTGGTGCAAACCAACACGTACTCTTTCAATCAATTAGTGTTAAGGGTTGTATCTGTTATAAACAACTTTATAGGGAAAAGAGAGTCAAACCATATCACTACAAATTGGGTTCTAATCTGTCTACATTTTCACAAATACAAGTACATTTGAGCATATTGTGTTCCTGAAGGTTTGGGCCTGGCCACATTTCTGTATTCCTATACCCGCTAGTAATTTCCTACTTAGTTCCACACATCAAACTCATGTAAATAAGTGTTCTGTACGCTTCCCCTGTGTTGGACTGCAGTGTGCCCAGTTTCTTACTGAGGTTTTAATTTAATCGTGCTTTGGATAGCTTAATGTTTCCTGCAGCTCTCCAACACTGGCCCTTATTAATACTTTTAATAGTTTAGTAAATGTAATTAAAGTGGTTTCAGTTATTACTGGCAAGTCCGCATACTTTCACAGGGATGATAGATATATTTTCTCATGAAGAAACTCTGTTATCTGATCACTTAGCAAATGGACTTTTTATATTAATTAATTTATATCATGTAATCTGGATACTAAATTTAGTTATATTTTTGTATTTTCTCATTCCACTTCATTCCTATTTATATTTCACTAGGGAAATGCTTAATCTATTTTTAACATATTTTTCTCTGATAGTTAATTATAGAATCAAAAACTTTCTAAACAGAAAACTTGGAAAACAGAAAAGGTTTACCACACAGGTGCCTTAATATTTTGCCAGTTTTCCTTCTAGCCTTTTCTTAAATATATTATTTGGAAAGAATTTAAAAAGCATAAATACCATTTCCTATGTTGTTAACAATCACTTTTCTCATATTGCTAGATTGTCTTCAGAATCTGCTCTGTAGATGACTGCAGAGATTTTACCAAATGAATACACTAAAAAATTATTTCCCCACTTTCAGATTGAAGAATAATTGACACACAAATTGTATCTGAGGTGTGCAACATAGTGACTCAATAATTATACAAATTACAAAATGGTCATAAGTGTAGTCACTAAAGTTGTTACAGTATCATTGACTATGTTCCTTCATACTGTACATCATATTCTCTTATGTTACACTATAACGATCATTTCCCAATTTTTAAAATGATTAGGGTGCTTTCAATTTGTTGTCTTTTTAAATTTTGATGAACATATTTCATGCACAAACCTGACTCCAAACAGTCTCAGGAATGGGATTACTTAGGTCGAAGGGTGTCTGTCTGGTACATACTGTGAAATGCTTTGCAAAACTTTTTTACCCCCCAATTCACATTTCCACAAGCAAGGTGTAAAGGATATAAGTTTTACCTCAAACCCAGAACTATTCTCTCCTTAATCCTTCTAATTTACAAATTAAAAATTGGTGTGACCAGAAGGAGGCAGCCTGGATGGCTAATTATTCTGCTGCTTTATCAGCTTAAGTTGAGGCTGGCCCCAAATCTCAGGTTCGTAAGAATCTCCTCAGGGAGAATGGTGTTAAAAATCAATTCCTGATTAGTTATTATAACAAACTGACAATGTAATTTTATTCAGAGATTATAAGCAATCCAGACATTCTGACAATGAGAAAGCAGTGAATTAGATTTTTCATTTAAGACCAAGTTTATAATGAGGAAGCTATCAGAGTTTACATCAAATGCTAAACAGAGACCTGACTGAGAACCCAAATACTGCGCATTTTACAGAAGGGAAAAAATCATTTACCTTATTTTCCCAGTAGGATCCATGTACGTTGTTTTTTCAAGCTTGACCCATTTTCCTTCTGAAATTAACTAAAAGGAGACATTAAGTTGGGAGATTTTCAAACTGAGGATTTTACTTAGGTTTGTTTTCTTTCAGATTTTCTCTTCCTGGCCCTCCCGGAGCTCACGTGCCCCTCCCAGTAGTTGCGCGAAGGTTTTCAGTTCAAAGTATGGGAAGTTTTTTTTCTGAAGGGTGGTTGGGTTTCTTTCTGGAGTTTGGGAAGTGATACTGAGAGATGAGAATTGACAAACGGGGGGTGCGGGGAAGTGGAGAGGGAGAACCAGGAGCGAGGGTTTTTCGGGGACCTAGTGTTCTATCCTCTGAGCTGGGTGTGCATCACAGAGGTGTGTTTCGTGGGTAGAGACTCCTCAGTGGTGGTTTATAGTCAGTGACCGCACGGGAAGGCTGACTGAGGAAACCATGTCCAACAACCGCATTTCTAGGGACACGTGGGTTTCCCATCCCCTCCAAGGCGGGTGGCCCAGGATCGACCCGCCTGGCCATTGAGCTTCGGTTACCTGGACTAGCTTCCCTACGGCACTATACTGAACTGACAGAAGAGAGTCACTGCGCACATAAAGCAGTAGCCTTTTTCTCACTATCGTATCTTTCACTTCTGGCCAGCAGCAACCTAATAATTATCAGCAGATCTATTCACAGACAACATGGGAAGATTTTTAAATCGTAGACAACTGCAGGAAGATGTCAAGGTCAGAGTTCCAAGGCGAAGGATTTAAAATTTATCCATTGCAATGGTTCCTGCAGAAAGAGACTTATTAAAAGCTAAACCAAATAACAAATAACATATACATTAGTTCTGGAACTCAGACTACAACTAACAACTTAGATTCTTATTGTTCTTAAACATATATATTGAGACCATAAACAGCTCACTAAGACGTGATACTTAGGTATGAAATGTCTAAACCCTAAAACTCACGTATGACTTATTCTTCTACCCAGGGAAACTTTTAATAAAATTTTGAGAATTCTTGTATCAACAGCCCAAATCCACTTTAAAAACACTTCACTAGTACATATAATTAAGAAATACACTATTGCTCCCACACAAGAGCAACATGTCCCTGAGTCCTAAAAAGGGAGTAGGAACAATGTTTAAGAAACTGTGTTTAATAATTGAATACACACAAAGAATTAAATATAAACATTTGAAACAACAGTGTCTACATTTCATTTAAACTCAGCTCTGTGTAGGGAGGGGGCAGAGAAGTGAAAAACAATTTATACCTCCTCTGAAATAATAGACTGTTTGGTATTTTGAGAAGGATCCGCTGGTTCTTGGTTTTCCATTTTCAAACTACTTAGTCTTTATAGTCCTCAGGCAGGAAGTTCACGCTGTAAGATAATAAGATGTGTTTAGGCTACATTTATTTTTCTGAATTAAACATTTGTCCGGAGGCCACCGGTGAAAGTACTTAAATGGTGAAAAACTTATCTGATGTCGTCAGTGCCGCTTTCCTCATGTGAAACCTGGGAGGACTGCCTCAGATGGAATGTCAATGCCAAGGCACCAGGAAACATCCAGGAAAAAACATGCAGCCATCCCAGTCAGATTCAGCTCACATTAGCTAAACTCCTACTGGGCGGGAGCTGGGCACTCACACAGACATTCTTGGATTTTTCTGACTCCAAATTTAAAAACTTTCTAAGGGGGAAACAGTACAGTAATTGTATACCACTCCCCATTCCCACCCCTTCACCACTGTCCCTTATCTACCCTTGACAGCTAAACTGTAAGACTTCTATGAGCTGCCTGTTTCTACCTCCCATATATCTTTTTTAAACTTGTAGTAAATGGATATACCATTTTAATAATGTTAAAATGTGCAGCTCAGTGGAATTCAACACATTCACATTGTTGTGGCCCATTCACTTTAAAGCTTCAACATGTATAAAAGTCAGAGTTGTACCGGAGTTGACCTGTAGCACCAGCTCTGTCGTGGAAAGAGCAGGCCCCGTCCCGTGCTGTACCCTACTCCAGTCTCTCTTCTTGGCTTATTCTCCTGCTTTTTGTACCGAGTGTCTGAAAATCTTTCTCTGCCCTCAAAGTGGACTGAATAACCTGGCTGCATATAGAAGTATGGGCCAAAAATCACTTTCTATTGGAAATATGGAGGCCTTGCTCAGTTGTCTTGCTTCTGGTATTGGCTGTTGTGACATCTGAAGCCATTCTGATTCCTGATCATTTTCCTCTGTGGCCTCTTTTCTTTCTCTGGAAACCTGTAGTTATTCACGTTTTCGTGTTGATGTTACTGTATTGGGAACTCAAACGGGTCCTTCCTTTTTTTATTGAAGTGTAGTTGACATACAATATTTTATTAGTTTCAGGTGTGCAACTTAGTGGCTCAACGTTTACATGTATTATGAAATCATCGCCACGAAAATCTGGGTACCATCTGTCACCATATAAACTTGTTATGATATCGTTAACTATATTCTCTATGCCGTACATTGCATTCCCATGTCTCATTTATTTTATAACTGGAAGTTTATATCTTTTGTTTGTTTTTTTAAAAAATTTATTTTTGAGAGAGAGCGAGCGAGCATGCATGTCCGCATATGAGTGGGTTAGGGGCAGAGGGAGAGAGAGAGTCTCAAGCAGATTCTCCCAGCTGAGCGCGGAGCTTTATCTCACAACCCTGAAATCATGACCTGAGCTGGAATCAAGAGTTGGTTGCTTACCAGTCTGAGCCACCCAGGTGCCCCTGTAAATCTGTACCTTTAATCCCCTTCCCCTGTTTTGTCAAATGGGTCCTTTCAATCTGGAAACCATACTGTGCTTCTTTATGGGGAACTTTTCTTGAAATATTTCACTGATAATCTCCTCCCCTCTATTTTCTATGTTCTTTCTTTTAGGAACTGATATTTAGCTGTTAGACTTCCTGAACCGATCCTCTGTCTTGTCTTTTTCATTCCTATTTTCTGTTTCCTTGTTATTTTATCTACAGTTCTCAGTGGCTACTTCAACGCTTTACTACTCTTAAGATCTGTAGTTCCCTAACTTACCCCACCTCCTAATGTTTGCTACAGGGAAAATACAGAGAATCAACATCAACTCTCCTATCAACTGTCTTGGAGGAAAGAGTGTCTTTGCTCTATTTTTTTTTTTTTAAAGATTTTATTTATTTATTTATTTGAGAGAGAGAGAGAGAGAGCACGCACAAGCAGGGGGAGCGGCAGGCAGGGGGAGAGGGAGAAGCAGACACCCTGCTGAGCAAGGAGCCCGATGTGGGGATCCCAGGACCCTGGGATCATGATTTGGGCCAAAGGCCACCACTTAACCGACTGAGCCACCCAGGTGCTCCGCTCTGTTTCTTCTGAGGCCTAAAGTAATAATGACACTACCCATCTCATTTGCAATTTTTATCCCAGATGGCAAATATCCTCCATCCTAAAACGCACCCAACAAAACACATTTAACCTTCTCATAACCCTGTTCTTTCCTTCTGCCTTCCTGGACTTCTTGAAAGAACAGATGATACTACTGAGTGTATTTACTCAGCCCAGTGCAGTCTACTCCTTTACCATCTGCCCATCTATTCATCACCCCCAAGCCAGAAATAGAAGTAGCTCCAATCCCTTATTCTCCTTCACCACTTATAATTTATCCATTGTAAGTCCTAAAAATTCTGTCTCAACATTTCTTAAGAGTGTCCTATCCTTACCATCACTGCTCTGGCTGAAAACCTCCCACCTGGGATGAAATTTCCAAAACCATCTCCTGGACATGAGATTTTTTTTATGTTGTCCAGTGTTCAACACTGCTCACAGTTGTGTTGGTATAGAAACTCCCTAAAATCACTGCTGAATAAATGAAGGAAGGTGGGATGCCTGGGTGGCTCAGTTGGTTAAGCGTCTGTCTTCTGCTCAAGTCACGATACCAGGGTCCTGGGATCGAGTCCTGCATCGGACTCCTTGCTTAGTGGGGAGCCTGCTCCTCCCCCTGCTTGAGCGCTCTCTCTCGCTCTCTCTCTGACAAATAAATACAATCTTAAAAAAAAAAAAAAATGAAGGAAGGAGTAAAATGAATCCGGCTGGGTAAATCTGGACAGCCATTCTGTTCCAAAGTAAATTAGGTTAGTCTGAGGCCTGCGTAGACTTACTTTGAAGAATAGTTCCTTGTCTAGTTGTCTTTATTTGACTAACTTAGTTTAACTCAATTTCAAAATTTTCTTGGCACATAGTTAAAGAGATTCACACTTCCTGATTTCAAAGTTACTATAAAAGCCACAGTAATCAAGATGGCGTGGGTACCAGCCTAAGGACAGACATAAACTGATGGAATAGAAAGTCCAGAATTAAACCCACAGATTCATGGTCCATTGATTTTCAACATGAATGCCACCATTCAAGGGGGGTAAAGGATAGCCATTTCAAGAGATTGTTCTGGGCTTAGATATATACATTCATGAGAATGAAAAAACCTCACAGGTGCCTGGGTGGCTCAGTCAGTTGAACGTCTGCCTCTTGATTTCAGCTCAGGTTGTGATTTTGGGGTCATGGGATTGGGCCCTGTGTCAGGCTCCACGCTCAATGCACAGTCTGCTGGAGATTCTTTCTTTCTCTCTCCCTCTGTTCCTCCCCCGCCCCCCACTTGCGCACACGCACCCTCTCTCTAAATAGATGGAATCTTCAGGAAAAAAAAAAAAAAGTGAAACTCTACCTAACACTGTATATAAAAATTAACTCAAAATGGATTAAAGAGCTAATGTAAGAGCTAAACCTACAAAACTCTTAGAAGAAAGTGTACATGTAAATCTTCATGATCTTGGGTTAGGCAATGATCTCTTAGATGTGACACATAAAGCCCAAGCAACGAAAAAAAATACAGATAAATCGGACTTCCTCAAAGTTAAAAACTTGTGTGCTTCAAAGGATACCATGAAGATAGGAAAAAACCCACAGAATGGGAAAAAAGTTTGCAAATCTGATAGGAGAACTGTATCTGAAATATGCAAAAAACTCTTAAAATACAATAACTAAAAGACAACCTAATTAAAAATAGCCAAAGGACCTGAATAGACATTTTCCAAAGAAGACATACAAATGGCCAGTAAGCCCATGAAAATATGTTTGGCATTTTTAGCCATCAGAGGAAGGCAAATCAAAACCACAATGAGATACCACACTTCACCCCTACTATGATGATTGTAATTATCAAGACAGGTGACAGCGTGTCAGGGAGGATGTAGAGAACTGAGACCCTCATATGCTGCTTGAAGGAATGCAAGATGGTGCAGCCATTTTGGGAAACAACCCTCAAAAGGTTAACGACAGAATTCCCATATGACGTAGCAATCTCATGCCTATATATACCCAGGAGAAATGAAACATACACTCTCACAAAAACTTGTACACAAATATCTGTTCATGGCAGTATAATTCGTAATAGCCCCAGAGTGGAAACAACCTAAATGACTATCAGTTGATGAGTGGATAAATAAAATGCGGTATTTCATTCAGTGGAATAATATGCACCCATAAAAAGGAATGAAGTACTGATGCACGCTACAAAATGGACGAACCTTGAAAACATTACGCTAAGTGAGAGAAGCCAGATACAAGAGGCCAAATATTGTAACATTCCATGTATATGAAATATCCGGAAGAGCAAATCCAGAGATAGAGAAAGCAGATTAGAGGCTGCCAAGGGACTGGGGGGAAGGAAAGACTAGGGAGTGACTACTTACGGGTATGGGGTTTCTTTTTGTTGAAAGATGTTCTAGAATTGAATAGTGGTGATGGTGACACCATCTTGCAAATACACTAAAACTACAGAATTTTACAGTCTAAGAGGGTGAATTTTATGGTATGTGAATTGCATCTCAATTAACAACCACCTTTGCAGTCTTAAAATCCCCAAGAGACAAATAATTGGGTTGTTGAAAGTCATGTTAGGTCCAAAGGTTGACCACACCTAGGAGACTAGTTCAAGGAGCTCTGCTTTGGACTCAACAGGCTCGTAGTGTATGCATGGCATTCCGGTACCCAAGTGACCATTTTACTGTCCTCTGGGTGTATATTTTGCCTGATACTCAACACATACTTCTGTTGTAAAATTAACTGTATTTCTGTTGTATCATGAAGATGTAATCAACACTGTTGCTTGCAGATTATTTTGTGGGCAAACCTAGGAATTCAATTTCCAGTAAGGACTTCGGCAAAGAAGCAAAACTTGAGGCCTTAGGGAAGAAAAAAATGACATTATGCTAAAGACATAAAAACCACTTAAAGAAGATGAGAGAAAGAAACGTGTATACATTTTCACACTCATTTAAACCATTAAGAAGTATGCACAAACTGTATTAATGTTCGTAAAAAACGAACATCGACTT